CGCGCGGCCATGTAATATCCTCTATTTATATCGCTGAAAATGTAATTTCGTGCAGTTTGACTTCCCTACCATCCTATCTTACACCAGGCAATACTGAAGTAGTATAGGAAATGTTAACTCGTGGTTTTTACATAAAGTATGTGACAGTTGATTTTCGTGGTCTTGGGAGGCAAAGAAACAGTAGAGACCCTCAAGAGGTTGTTGTCGATGCATAGAAATAGCATTGCGTGTGGTGGTGGAAGTCAGGGTTGGAGGGAGGGGGGCGGGGAAGTAGGGGGCATGATACCTACTGTAGGTAAAAGAACCGTTAGGTTTTCGCCTGTCATTCTGTTTAAAATAGCCTATGATTCTCCGGAAGATTTGTTTTGTTAGGCTCGCAGATGAAGTGTTATCGTTTTATGATGCCAAGTGGGAACTTCTCATTGCCATCAATATTTGAAAACGGCACCAGTGATTTATAGGTCAAACAAAAGACGCAAAGCATAAATGAGGAATATCAGGGATAAAAAGGGCGGGAATGTCATGTCTGAAGCAACGAATTTTTAATTTGCAAACTATAACAGAACTGTGTTTGAAATGAGTATAGGGTGTTTGGGTTTGAGCTGATGAAGCGTCAGAAGATTAAGCGGCCGAGGTGCATCTGGTCGATGAAGTTGGAAGCTATTTTACCACTGTACACACTTTGGCTAATTATTTCATCCTGAACAATTTGAGACTGAAACAATTTTAATTTTTCCAATCAGACTTTCTCAAGTTTTCCTAGCTCAACATTACCTTGTTGTAAAATAGGGAGGTAGGGAGGTCAAACTGCACGACATTACGTTTTCAGCGATAAATAAAATAGTTACCAAGCCAAGAATGAAACGTGGCCTTGTCTAAGCATTTCTACGCATGAATGAGCCTTTGATGTACGTGATCAGCGGTGAAAGAAGTTGAAAAAAAAGTCGGGATGAAAACTTAAAGGCAAGAAAAAAGTAGATAAAGGAAAAATCGAGCACACTTACTGTGCTCCGTATGCAAACATTGATTTACGTCAGTATGGAATTTCTGTCGCTGTCTCGCAGAGGTTCCTCGATCCTTGCGAAACGTCCCTAGCGGCGAGGAGCAAGGAGAAACTACTGTTTTCGCAGGCTAGTACCAATCTTGCTTCTTGCATTTGTTATCTCAAGTGTCGTTTACCAGGCAAATGTCACACAGCAGTTTTCGCTGCCATAAAAGGTACACTTAAATCAAGGTACCTTTTTCAGGCTTCAAGTATGTGAAAGGGCAGGGAATCCATCAGTTGAGGTACATTAAAGAGCAGCCCCAGGGAAATCTGTCATTTTAGGCTGTAAAATGGCCCAAAAGGGTTAACAGAAAAGTCGAAAAGTCGAAAAAGTGTTCTGGTTTTGTGGTTTATTCATCTTTTAAAGACAGTGTATCTACAGCAGTTTAAAGGGATAGAAAGTTCTAAACTAGGTATGTGAAAGGGGTACCACTTTCCAATAGAAGGCATGCTAAAGGCCAGGATACCCTCTCTGCCATAAGGGTAAGCAAAGGCGTTGGACCTTGGGGCTGTTTATTGGGTACCTCCTCCCCCAGGCTGAAGACTCACTAAAGTGATAACAATAGCCACTTATGGAGTGTTCTAAAGCTATTTTTTAACTCTCGGACCTGCTAGTGCAGATACACTGCAGATATATATTTTAATATTATCTCACCCCATCCTGAACACAGTCTTCGCATGATTTTTTGCTTTCTAAGCTGCACTTGTCCTCTAGAAGAAAAATCAACGGGAAAATTTTGATTTTATGCCAGACTGCGAGCTGTCTCTTATCTTTCTTTTAAGTCACGGTAGATCGAGGGCACACGAAGGGGAGAGCGGCAAAACTGAAGCCCCAGCGAAGCTCTCCGCCCTAAGATCTCCTCCTTTTTATCATTAATTTCGCGTGGCTTTGATGAAGGAAAGACGAGGGTACTTTGTTGTCATGGCAATCAATTCCGCCCAGTTTCCGAGAAACAGCCGCTTGACCACGTGACCTCGCGTGATTATTGAATTCGAAGAAACTCAAGGTGTTTTGTCTACCGAGGAATCGGCATGTTAGGACTTCGAAGCTTTGCTGGCTTAAATTCTACGAACAAGTATTAATGGAATTCACACACAATTAAAGGTAATGTCGGTGAAAGAGTTATTTACATGGTATGCAATTGTATAGCCGGCGCGTCCGCAAGAATTGGCCAAATTTTGAGATCTGTGAAATATGGAAATGGCCGTAGTTGGGTTTTGGTTTTCCCGAACCCGGCGTTGTATATTAGCGTGGTTTATAGCAGCTGCGTGTATATTGTGGGTCGACAGACCCTACAGGAAAATCATTTAACGGTTGTAAACCTGCTGCCTTTTTAATTGTATGCATCTCAATATTAGTCTGATATATTTTGAAGAAGGTCTGATAAAGTGGAAACTAACATGTCAGCTGCTTTGTGACTGAGCAGCCCCGCCGGTATTTTAAATTTTTTCCGCGTTTGTTACTGTTTATCCTCCGTCTTCCTTGTCCTTCCGAAACTGAAACTCCTTAAGCCTCAAGATGATCTTAGACGCCAAAGTTTACTCTACATTAAAGCCGATGCTTGACGAGTGCAGTGTCCTTCGTTGCACGCGGAAACGGACGTCTCCATAAAGCTATCGCTACTGCCTCGAACCGCTGTTTTTTAATAAGTTCTGGTAGCCACAGCTGCGTGAAAAAATCAAATCTTGTGATGCAATTTACAACATTTCTTTCTTAAAAGATGTAGACAATGAATCAACCAAGACTCTGCAGAGATAAGCGGTTATTATTTGTTTAGAATTTATTCAAAATGAATATCCTGAGAGCGCGGTTGAACACGATAAGCGGTGTTGCATTTTTCCGCGTGAAACAAAAGAAATAGACGAAATCGGCTGCAAGCAGGCGACGCCCGAAGGATTCTTCTCCTTCGTTGGTTTGGTGACTCTCTCTCTCTCTCTCTCCGCTGACTTTATTTAATATAATCAGCGGCAGCTTTTTCACTCAAATACAAATATATAGAATTTAAACTCTGTCGTCTTATCATCACAGTCTGCGATTAGTAGGAACTGTTCCTAGGCTGCAAAATAGTGTAAGATTGTCAGTTACATTTCTATAATTCCCACTACTTCCGTACCAGGCGCCGAGGAAAATGAGGAAAGACAATACACAAAGTTTATCTGTAGCCAGGAATAACAGTGTCACTATGGCAGTATGCATGACATTTGAACAGAGGATGAAACCGAGCCAAAACATTCCAAGTTTAGAGATATTAATTTTGCAGGGAAATTTGAACATGGTTTAATTTAAAATCAAAATGTAGCAAAAATTTCAGCTCTGTTTAAATTCTTTAAAAAAAGCAAAGAAAAGAAGGGAGAAAAAATGAAAATTACATAAAACAGACACCGGCCGGCGCGGTGTTTCAGTCTGTAAACAGATCACATTACAGTTTTCTGAGAAATAGTGTATGGACCATTTGTCGTCGCTGACCCTGGATCGATTTTTCTCGGAACAGCTGATGAATATTTAGTAAAAATCCAGTGGATATTAGGGTTGGTTACATATTATGCCGGCATAATTTCGGGCAAAATGCTATAGTTCGACCATGGAGCATAATATGGGCATTTTTTCACCATATAGAGAATAACAGTGATGATAAAAGTTTAATATTTCCATAACTGTATTGAGATCTTTTTCGCTTTCAAGTGCTTTTTAGTGACGATTCAATATATTCAAAGGCTTGGTTGCTGCTTTCAAGGCATGCTTCAAAGTCCAAAGGTTGTCTTTCCTTCATGCATGTCTGCCAGTTCAGATAGGATCAACCTCTTTTGTCCTGACTGTTGTCTTTCAAAGTTATGAAGTATTTTTCTGGCTGCAGGGATGGAAAAGGGCATCAAATATAACCAAGACCAGTCAAGCATAACTCTACTTCTCGAGCTTGATCTTAGGCATAATGCTGTTGCTTTAAAGGTGACGTTCAAAAGATTAATGCTCACATTTTCGAGCATAACCCTAGTTTATATGGTGAATGTAAAATTATTGGAGTGAAATGCTGAAAAGACACCTTTATTTAGTATTTCCCCGAGCTGTGTGTATTGTAGCTTACGTGGTAGCTGGGCCAGAAATTAATAGAATAAAAGAGAAATTAAGGCGCGCGAAGAAACATTCCCTTAGTACCCCTCGCGAGAATCGTATTATCGCGCGCATTTATTCACACGTGCCTCTAACGCAAGCTATCTGTATTCGCACAGAGAAAATTTAAGAAGATTTTGCCAGCTTCCTTTCTTGAAAGGTGTTGTTAACTGATTCAGTTATTTCCTAGTACCTTTTTTGCCTTGGTGATTTTCTTAAGTAAAAGTTAGGACCTTTCGTTGTTGGTAGTGCACATTTCTGCAGTATGTGACTATCTGATCTTCTAGTCAAGAGTGATTTTACCTGACCCTTGAAATAGGTAGTAGAATACTAGGCACTATTATGCACTAATTCCATAGTCTTCTTTTGTTTACCTCTTGCTATTTCACTGTTTTTGGTGCGAAAAAAAAATTCCAGTGCCACTGTTGACAAAGAATTTAATTTTCACGGAAATTTCCGCACAAATGGTAAGCGCACCCTAGCAAGCTTTGCCCGTTGGAATGATAGGCAAGGCATTGTTTTATATCCCGTGGCCATCGAGGGTGTGTGAATCAGTATTTAATTATTTACCTTGGGTAACAGCCTCAACGAATAGATCACTTTTCCCCTGTCACCTAAACCTTTTTAAACAAGAGCTTTAAATCATACTCTGTCACCATCGGTGATGAAGTGAGCAATTAGCGAAGTGATCAGTTCTAGATGGAGTGCAAGGGAACTATATTATTTTTTGCGTGTTTGAAGTTCTGATTGTGAACTTTGTTCCGTCCCCAGATGTTTTAATTCATTCTTGTGAGCGAAGGCCGTGAACGAGTGAGTAACAATATTTGAAATAATTTTATATGCAACATGTCTCTGAGAGGTCTGTTCAAACCGCAGCTTTTTCTAGGTAGGCCCTTGGTTTTGATTTCCCCCCTCTAAAGGTAACAAAAATGGTCAGTATACAGCTAATTCGAGAAAGGTTGTCAGAAAAAATGCATTCGACAATCCCGAAAAGTATTGTGCCTGGTTTTGAGTTCACTGTTCTTCAAAGATTAGTAACTTGAAAGAATTTCATGAGAGGGACTTACGTTCGCGATTGCTGAAGGAAAGTAACAAAAGTAGGTCCGACAGCTACAGTGTCAGTAACGGTGTATTGATCATATCCCATATTACCTTTCGGGATTGCCGAATGCACATTTTTCCCGACCTTTCTCAAGAAAACTGTATGATGATGAATTTGTAAGCCTCTCAAACACTCAGCCACGGCGCCTTAAATCTCTTGACATGGGCAAGGTGAAAATTTGTCGTCCAGATACTTCAGTTAACAACTGGGGTATTACATCGAGCGCGAAACCTTATTTATTTGAAACGTCACAATCTCAGCTGAAAGTAGGGTAGAATCGTGTGAACAGTGGTAAAAAAAAATACGCATGTATGCGCTTACAGACGATCTGGTGTGAACATCGCCTTGATTTTTGTGGGAGCGTCGTATGACTTGGCCTATTAAAATGTCTGGGAGCCTCTTGCTATCGAGATGTTCCATCAATTTCTTTTCTTTTAAGAAAAAAAAAATCAAAGTATTTTGAATTCTAGTGGACGAAGATGATGACGGATTTAATCTCATTCAGCCATCGCTGATCCAGCAGTTGAAGACCATCCTAGATCAGTACCCTGACGATGGACAGATATTAAAGGTAAGAAATTTGAAGACTTAAGGAAACTTTTATGTCTGACTATAAAGAGGTATAATTCCTTTTCACCTTTACCGTTTTCTGACTGAGTATCTTCAGTCAACGTTGGGCTAACAAGGACAACAAGAAAAGATAAGATAAGCATAGGTTGAGAATGACGTAATGAAATATGAACAGTGAGATGAGATGGGACTAGACTGATGAGATGGGATGAGAAAGGAATGGAAGATTCTGAATGAGATACATACGACGAGATGCGAGGAGATGGGATGGAATAATGGAAAAAGATGAGGTGAAGTGAATACGTGTGAGCCAGGGTGAAATCGGATATGCGATTATTTTGCCAAGGAGAGACGAACAGAAGAAATATAAGATGGGGTCAGATGAGACAATAGATGTTAGAATGATGGTTTACTAAGGGGCCGACCATTTAACTCTTGAGGGGGGGTGGGTGATTTTGAAAAAAAATTTCTTGCAAGCGCTTGTTGGAAGAAAAAAATTGCATGCAGCAGATGTGTAATAGACAGCTTATGGGAAAAAAAGGGAAATATCCTGCCCACCAAATTGCTAGAAAAAAAAAATTCTTGATGACTAGAAATCACCCACCCCCACCCTCAAGAGTTAAATGGTCGGCCCCCAAGTGAGACGAGATAAGATTTAGTCAATCGGCAAAAAATCAAGATGAAATTATCAGTGATATCTTGCAAGACTGAGATGCCATAAGGTTAAGTTCATACTTTGTACATATCCGGGGAAGTGTGTGTGTGGGTTATAGATTACTTTAAGCTGCTTCTGTTTTAATCTTCATGTGTGTATTAGGAGCTCATCCAAAATGCCGAGGATGCAGGAGCAACTCAAGTGAGATTTCTCCATGACCTACACAGCTATGGAACAGAGAAACTTCACAGCGAAGGACTGGGCCAGTTCCAGGTAATCGTAAATGTTGTCGTTAACTCTCAGAAAGAATAGGTTTTTTGTCTTTTCGTCTCACTCTTTCTGTAAGAATTCTTTTTATCAGGGGGTTTTGCTTGATCCCCTCCCCCGTTAGTTTTCTGACAGTCCGTCCCTTACCGAAGAATTTACCCCCTTAGTGACAAAGTCACAGCTCAGTATGTATCGTCTACAAAATGTCTCCCGGCGTCATGTTCTATAGTCGCAAACAATGGTGGATATAAACCTTAAAAAACTGACAGCTATACTATTTTTTGCACTTTCCACCTGGTACAGTCGAACCTGTATTAAGCGGTCACCCTCCGTTAAACGGTCCCGAAAATGATTTTCTAGGTTTTACAGTAATTAAGAAAGCTTAGAAGTGGTCACATCTATCATTTATAAGCGGTCGCGGTCGCGGTCACCTTGTCCGAGGTCCCAACAAGTGATATAATTTTCATTAGTATATACACACTCAGTGATCTTGGTGATTTAAGCAATCTGATTGGTTCGCTATCTCGGACTATTCAACAATATTCACCTCCTTGCGAGTGGATAATGTGTGAGCTCGGTTTTTTTCCCATTTTCTTAGAGAAAGATCTTTTAAAAGTCGACAAAGTCCTAGGGTTTACTTTTTTTCAGGCAAGAAAAGACTTCGAAAGATTCAAAACGGCGTTTTTCCATTTACTGTTGTTGATAGATAGATAGATAGATAGATAGATAGATAGATAGATAGATAGATAGATAGATAGATAGATAGATAGATAGATAGATAGATAGATCATCTTTATTTATCCACGGTACAAAATTCGTCAGCTTTAAAAATGCCTAATACTAATATAATAAAAATATTTAAATAAAAAAGCTGCTTTCCACGAACGCCGTGCCTTACAGTTCTTTGAGTAATCGTTTAAATTGCCCAAGGGACTCTGCTCCCCTTAAGTTACAAGGAAGACTGTTCCAGAGAATGGCGCCACTATAGCTGAAGCTGTTTTTGTAATAGTTTGTGCGCGGTAATGGAACATTGAGTTTATTTTCAGAGTCCGTTAGGTTATATGCGACTTCTCGCCTTTCAAATTTAGAACTAAGATAGTTTGGAGCCAGCCCGTGCAGAGACCTGTAAACCATCGTAGCTCTTTGAAATTGTTGCTGGCAAGCTAGGTTTTTCCACCCTAGAAGTTTGAAAAGGTGATCAGCATCTACGTCATAGCTTGAGTAGGTCAAAACACGGGCTGCTCTGTTTTGTAGCTTTTGAACCTTATTCCGTAAGGTTATCCCACAGTTTCCCCAAACAATGTTGCAATAATCAAAGTGTGGCTGTATTAAAGCTTGATATATTAGTTGTAAGGTCGCCTGAGGGACAAGGTGCCTTATTCGTTTTATGGCCACAATACCAGAAGCGACTTTCTTTGTTACTTTCTCGATATGGCCACTCCAATCAAGTCTGTCATCGATGGTCACTCCAAGTGATTTCGCAGTAGTGACCTGGCTAACTTCAAAATCATTAATTGCAAATGTCGGGGACTCTGTGAGAGTACTTAGCCTCTGCCTAGATCCGATAAGCATAAATTCGGTTTTAGAGTAAGTTTGTTTGCTCTCAACCAATTGTGAACATTTTCTAAATCTTGATTTAGATGCAACTGAATATTGTCTGCATTATCACCTGCGTACGTAAGGTGGGTGTCATCAGCGTACATCCTCGGCTCACAATTTGAAAGACAGTTTGGAAGATCGTTGATGTATAACAGAAATAATAATGGACCTAAAATCGTCCCCTGGGGAACACCACAACTTAATAAACAGCTTTGAGAGAGCGATCCGTTGATGGAGCACATTTGAGTACGATTCTCTAAATACGACTTAAACCATTGGTGCGCGTTACCATATATGCCGTAATTGCTTAATTTTGATAAAAAGGTCTCATGGTCAACTGTGTCGAAGGCCTTTTTGAGATCTAAGAAAACAACGGCGTTGATTTTACCGCGGTCAATATTGTACGCCCAAGTGTCCGTGGCCTCAAGGAGAGCCGTGACAGTTGAGTGAATAGCGTGAAAGCCTGATTGATATTTACAGATTATATTGTGCTCTTCTAGGTAGGCATATAATTGATCATACACGATTCTTTCAAAGACCTTGGCCATAACTGAGATCACCGAAATTGGACGATAATTGTTTAAGTCGTCCCGATCGCCTTGTTTAAAAAGTGGGGTGACCTTTGCGCATTTCCAGTCATCCGGAAATATGCCTTGACCTAGTGACTGGTTAAAAATATCACGGATAGGAATGCAAATGAGATCTGCACATTCCCGAATGAGCCTAGCAGATATCTTGTCAAAGCCAGCTGCCTTTGACTTATTTAGACGATTCAAAATCGATTGTTTACAACTCCTGTTTATTCGCCTAGAAGAGGCCGTTTCGTGAACTCAGCGTTTCCTAACAAGAAAAATTTGGCCCAAAAACGAAGTTTACTTATGACAAACAAATTTGAAAGCAAATGTTTGCAGAAATTCTACGTTTCAAGTAAACACGACAAAGAATGCTACATGAAGACGACGTTTTACCTCGAGGAACCGAGTCGCCATTTTTGTCAGCACTTCATGCGCAGAACGACACAACAAACCTTTTCGGCTATAAACTTGGCCAGTCAACAGAAAACAACAAGGCTCTTCTTTTCTTCTCAGGTAAGGAAACAATTCAAACTTTTAGCGGTTCCATTTAAGTCATTACGCTGTTGTTTGCGAAGTGATAAGCTTGTGAATTGCCATGTTTGAAAATTCTACAAAGATCTATTTTTAAACTGTCGCGTGTCTAGCTGACCTGATCTCTCAATCAAATCGTACTTTTGAATGGTTTCCCCTCTGATTTTGTTGAGATCACTTCGTGTGTATATACTAAAACAATTATTCTTTTCAATCTCGGTGAATAGTGGCTTTAGGAATATTTACCTCACCACTTCGTGGCTCGGTAAATATTTAGCCACTATTCACCTCGATTTCAAAGAATAATTGTTAATTGTCTTCACCTCTATCAAACAGTCACTTTGAGAAGACATACCGCACTAGTGCAACAGATACACTGTGTATGACGTTTAGTGATCTTTTACTTTCTTTCTTTTGGCACACGAAGAGGCGGAAACAGGTTAACTGGTCAATTTGTTGTGGAATAGATATTTCGCTCTTCCTGTTCCTTCATTTTCTTGAAAAACTCTTAGGTTTGTCAAACCTGTATTAAACGGTCGACTTGTATTAAGCGATCAGTAAGCCATTCCTCAAGGGTAACCGCCCAATACAGTTTTGACAGCATTGCGTTTTCACTCCATTCAGGGAGCAGTTCCTTGTGGCTGAATATGACTAAATTATGTGATGATGCTGCAAGTCAGATTTGAACACATAAAAAACTGGCAACGCTAAACCATTCTGCGATATGGGCAGCACGCCCACTCTCCTATTCGAACATACAAAAGAAAGTCCTCAAGTCAAAACGTTGGCTCTGGGAAGTGGTTTTCTACGCATGGTGTGCTACATCTACAACCTCAGTCTAGAACAGTTTCATAGATACATTCTCATAACATGGATCACTTTAATTAATGTCCACTAGGGCCCAGCACTCTACGCCTACAACAATGCCGAGTTCACCAAAGAGGACTGGAAAGGTATCAGGATGCTCTGTGACAGTATAAAAGTCAAAGATCCGATGAAAGTTGGTCGGTTTGGCCTCGGTTTCAAATCGGTGTTTCACGTCACAGGTGAGATAACTATAAAATATTTATACTTCAACTGTTGGTGTTGTAATTAGTGACAGCAAGAGTTGAGTGAATTATTCAAGACAGTTACCTGTTCCTTTATGGAGCTAAGCATGAGTATATATTATTCAAAGTCGGCATTAATTAACAAGGGGGTAAATTTCACCTATCGCCTCGCAAAGGTGAAAAGACTCCCTACGTTTTATAACACAGTTGTTTTTGAAGAAAACCACCGGAAGGAGCGACATTCCGAGGCAATGAAATTATTTACATAGTATGCTTATCTCACTGGGAGAAAAATAACGAGTTTTTTGTGTTTAATGTATTGAGAACTGAACAAACCCAAAAGTTAAATGCAAACATTTTGACTTAAGTCCACAACGGTTTGAATATGGACAAATTTCCCTGGAGTTAAAATAATACTTTTTTCTGTGTATAAAAAAGTGCTCCTATGCGTATAGGTATTCTACACCCTCCTGTAATACCCTGACATCTTTATTTGTTGCTTCTTTAATTTAAACCTGGGCGCTGAGAGGAGGTAATGAAATGGTATCTTTTGTGAAATTAAGGAATGATTTCACTTGCCTTTTGGTTAAATTTCATTAATGTCCCTCGCCTTCGCACGAAAATTCACTCGTCACTATTTGATCACACATACTAACACTCAAATTTCGCGCCAAAATTAACAATTAAATTGTCTTCTATGATATTATACCCTTGACGTTTTCCTTCATTTACCTTCAGATCTACCGAGTATATTAAGCGGTTCACAGATCGGTGTTATAGACCCACACGAGGAGTACTTTACCGAAGGGAAAATTCGACGAACAGGTTATAGCTGGAAAATCACTGACGATCGTCACGTCATGGACAATATACCAGACCAGTTTACGCCTTACAAGGGAATATTTGACTGTACAGATGATGTTTTCTCAAGAGGCTGGTACGACGGTACTCTATTTCGCTTTCCACTACGACACCGACCCTCTGACCTTTCTCAGACTCTCTATTCCGCTGAAAAGGTGCACACATTATTTGAAGGATTCATGGCTGACGCACACTTGATCCTCCTTTTCTTGCAACATCTGGAATCTATCGAGCTGTACGTCCGTGGGGAGTACGACGATAAACCAAGAAAAACGTTTCAAGTTCGAATCACAGATGAAAGCCTTCATTTGGTACAAGAAAAGAGGAAGGAGTTTCACTACAAGATCTCCACTGGCAGTCTTTTGCCCCATCCTGTCAAAGTAACCTACCCGATCACGGTTGAGACTGTACACTTTTCTCAAGGCTCAGAAACCACACAGAGTCATTCGTTTCTCGTAACCAACTACTTTTGTGGCGAGGAGATATCGTTTGAATTTCAAACCCTGGCTAAAGATCAAAGCCTCAGTTACTTACCCTTAGTTGGTGTTGCCATGGCATTACCAGCAAGCGTTGGCGAACGTACTCCAAAGATTCAAGGTCACGTGTTTTGCTTCCTACCGTTACCAGTACAGAAGACAAGTCTGACAGGTTTGCCGGTTCATGTGAATGGCTTCTTTGCTTTGAGTCAGAACAGACGTTATATCAAATCTCCAAACGCAGAACAGGAAGATCAGGAACTAACTGACAAGTCCCTCTTATGGAATAGGTGTCTTTTGGAAGAGGCTCTACCCAGGGCATATTCAACGATGCTGCTAGAAGCAATCAACGAGAAGAGCTACAATATCCAAGAAGAGACTGTTTACAGGTAAGATTAAAATGTCTCCATGAAATAAAATATTTCAGTTACTTTATTGGCGCAAAAGGTTAGATAACACCTAGAAATTGGCATTGCTATAGATAGTTCTCCTTGGAATGCCTCATTCTTGTTGAAAGTGCAACTAAGCACTTGGAATAGAGAATACATTGCTTCGGCTCGTACGGTGTAATTTTTGGAATGTAAGACCTTTTCTGGCCGCCCAAGCAGCGATATAGATTGGTCTAATTCAACACGTCCTGAAATTCAGGGTTTGACCAGGTTTCTATCACAGTGGTTCGACATTAGCAAAAACTGTTGCTCTCAATATCAACATATGGTTTTAGTTTCTGGTGCAAATGGTGCATCAATTAATTACACGTTCTGAATGCTGTATTCTGTAGGGCTTGGCCTAATATTGACGCCATCGACCAGAAATGGAAGAGATTGCAGAATCCCTTACTCGAGATCTTGTGCTCCGCAAATTTCGTATACACTAAGGCTAGTGGAGGAAAGTGGCTGAAAGTGGAAGACGCTATCTTAGACAGACTCGGTGAACACCAGCCGAAGGATTTGCTCGTCAGTGTGTTGCTTGAAGCACATCAAAATGTCGCTTCCTTGCCTGATTACGTGTTAAAGGCATTTACCACGGTCGGCAATAAACCAGTTACCAAGGAAATTACTCCCATATTGGTGAGGCAAATCCTCAAGGAAATTCCTTCAAGTTACAGGAAACTTGGGAGAATGGAAAAATTGAACCTTCTAGCGTTCATCCTGAACGGTATAGATGAGAACTTTGTAGACCTAATTGGACTGGAGCTGCTACCAGTATCCAGTGGTGCCTTCAAATGCTTTGCATCCCTTTCAAACTGTGACGAAGCAGTTTATGTCTGCTCACCTGATCATCCAAGGAAAATGTTTTCTAGTCTAGACCATCAGTTTCTGGACCAAGACCTGGAGGGAAATCTTTTGGAAATGATGGAGAAAGTTGCAAAGAAAGGTATGAACGATACGAGAATGTTGTGAATTTACATAAAGCTATTTTGTCTCCTTCAGCTAAGACCATCTAAGAGTTATTCCACTATTTGGCGAGTTAAAATTACATTTCGCTCTCCACTAATCAGTGCTTTGAGTCGAGGTTCATTAAAAATAACCGATAAGTTTGTTTTGAACATACTCAGCAACTATTCCTTCCTTTTCTTGTAGTGAATTGTTCACAGGAAAACAATAGATTTTTTAATCAAATCAAGGGAATAGAAATATGGAGTGTAAAAGCAGTCGGCGTGTGGTAGTTGTAACATTAGACCAAGAACTCTATTCCTTTAACCTCGTTGCCGTATTCAAAGAAACAGGCATTTTTTACTTTGACGGATTCTACGCGAGCTGCGATTGGTCGTTGCCTCTAACCTAACAGATTTTGAAACATCCAAAGCTGACGTCACAGAAAAACTGGCGCACTGTTTTAAAAACGTTAGGAGGCTCGACCGCAACTTCGTACCATAATTTGACATCCTAATACATCATAAGGGTATAGCATGCAAAAGTGGTATCTACTATACGTAGGCATAGTCTTCTTTGATGAAAGAGGTACCTAGCGTGTTATACCGCTAAGCGCGCTGTAAAGAGCAGTATTTGCGGGTGATTTTATTTCGTGACAGGAGCGGCGATTTGTGTTGTTATTTTAGCACAATCTTCTGTTAATTAATGGAAAGTGCAAACAAATATGTTGGATAGAATCTTGTCCTGCGACTAATGGCGCCTTAAAATAGCCCGTGTATCTTAAAAAGCATTTCAGATATGCACTGCATTGTTCAAAACTTTTCAAAATGTGATGTGCATTTTATGTGTAAGGCGAAAGTGAGAAGACATTATTACCTTTAATGTTTGAATAGGATGTACCCAGCTGAAGTTTCTTACGCAAGATGACGTGGCTTCCCTTCTCTCAAAATCGTTGCCACCAGAATGGTCACAAGGTGAAGCAATTTTCTGGTATCATGGATCGGATTATCACAACCATCCAGGGTTAGGTTGGCTTGAGCTCGTATGGAATTACTTTAGAACGTACTTCACCACGAATGATGGGCTCTGCGAGTTCACTGGTCTCCCTTTGATTCCACATGACATGTCACAAGTACCAATCAGCCTTTCGAGACTTCAACAGCCTTCTAAGATTGTTGTGAAAAGTCTCCACGGTGAGTTTCTGGATGAAACACTGATTCATTCCTTGAAACACCTTGGTCTTGTTATCATTCAGCAGTGTCCATCTTACCTTACCCTTCACCCTGCTGTCGTCAATGCATTTATTTACCCGCCATCACCACATGGTGTCTTAAAGGCACTGTCGGCTTGCCCATCGGTTGTAGGATATAACAAGCATTCATTGACAGACGAAGGCAAACGCTCCTTAAGGAAGTTCTTTTCAAAGGAATCGTCGCTAGAACCCCAAGCAAAGCAGCTTCTCCGTACCCTTCCTTTGTTTGAGACACTAAACAAATGTTTTGTTTCTGGAGAGGAGGATCTTTGTGCAGCACCGCCAGAAGGCTCTTACCCCGTTTCTCCTCGTCAGGATCTTATTGACGTCACACATGATGACTCCAAGAGGTTGGCACGTCTGCTAGGCATCAGATGCTTCTCTCCTATAGAATTTTTTCTTGAAATTCTAATTCCAGATGTTAAAGGAGGACATTACTCTAACGAAGAAATGGACAGGCTTATGGGATTCGTGATGGAGAGGTTTCAAGTTTTCGCCGGCGCAGATCCACGATTTTTAGGGGCCATGAAATCTTTGCCATTTGTGCCAAGCAAAAATAGAAGGGTCAGAGCTATGGACCTTTTCGATCCCGGGATTGAGTTATTGAAACGAATGCTGGCCGAAGAAGATGTTTTTCCAGTTGGTGAACAGTATACGAACCCCGCAGCCCTCGTGGTTCTAAATAAACTTGGCATGAAGAGTGAAAAGGAAATTAGCGCTGAAGATCTGTACTGCAGTGCCAGAAAGATCTCTCAAATGTCAAATTTGGAGGAAGCAAAGCGAAAATCGGAAACCATAATGTCATATTTAGACAGTAATGCAACGAAGCTTCAACAAACTGTTTCAGGGGTAACGTTGACACAACTTTTGCGAGACGTTCCATGGGTATGCGAAGTGAACGAGAGGCCCTTTGGTGTTCCTGTTAGCCTTAACGCAACTGAAGAAACTAGCAAAGCCCACTTTTACAAACCGACGGAAGTGACAAGTGAAGATAAAGCTAACCTCATTGGAACAGTGAAGCCTATTGTAAGAGTACATTCTTCAAGTCAATTGGCAAAATGTTTCGGCTGGGATAAAATGCCAGATACATTGGACGTGGTGCAACAGCTGAAAACCATGGTCACTCGCTATACCCAGGATAAAAAGCCACATTATATTTCAGTGGTCACGGACATCTACGCATTTCTAGATCAGTCCGCCGATCCTGAAGTCATCAAGGAAGCTTTCCGGGGAATTCAAAACTCGATCTGGATTTGGAATGGAGATGGTTTTTCTTCTGCTGATGTTATCCTTGCAGCAAGGCCTCCAATTGATCTTGGTCCGTACATTTGTTCTCTTCCCTCCGAGATGATGCAGTTTTCAAACTTTTTTTCGAAGTTCGGAATGAGAGAGCACTGCGATGCTCTGTTTTTTGTACAAGTTCTTCACCTGATAAAACAGAAGTATGAATATGGACCCCTTTATCCGAACACGGAGGTGAAAAGAGATCTCCAGCTATCTGCAGACATTTTGAATGAGATTAAGCCAAAAGCTGGAGAACAACTACCTTCAGAGATTCAAGAAAAAGTCCTCATCCCAACACACGTAGAAGGAGATTCCTACGTAAGGCTTGCACCAGTTAAAGATTGCATGTACTGTGACCACGAGTGGCTAGAAGAAGTCATACCTGCTGAAGAAGAAAATCATTGCTTTTTTGTGCATCAAAACATCTCAAACAGTACTGCAGAAATTTTACAAGTTCGTACTCTTAGAAATCAGTTATTGGAAGCTGATGAGATAGGAGATGAATTTGGTCAAGAAGAAAAACTCACTTGCAGATTAAATAAACTTCTGGAGGAATACACAGATGGTTTTTCAGTACCAAAGGAACTAATCCAGAACGCAGATGATGCTGGTGCCACTGAGGTCAGATTTCTTTACGATGAAAGAACCAACGAAGATGCTATGACCTGTCTGATTGACGAAGGAATGAAAGAATGCCAGGGTCCTGCTTTGTGGGTTTACAACGACGCTGAGTTTAGGGATGAGGATTTTGAAAATATTACTAAACTCAACGGTGGCACAAAAAAACAAGAAGCCGAGAAAATTGGAAAGTTTGGGCTTGGTTTTAATACGGTCTATAATCTGACGGACGTTCCTATGTTCCTTAGCAGAAACTACTTTGTGATTTTTGATCCCAACACCTTTTATCTTGGAAAAGCCATCACAAACAAGAGCAAACCAGGAATAAAAATCGACGTCAACAAGAATCCAGAGAGAAAGCGAAGGCTTAGGAACCAGTTTAAACCGTTCAATGGCATTTTTGGGTGTGATCTTCTTCTGAACAAAAAGGACAACTCATTTCAAGGTACCCTTTTTCGCTTCCCATTGAGAACTAAAGGGCAAGCTCTGAGAAGTGAAATTAAACAAGATTATTACGGCCACAACCAAGTGAGGGAGCTTTTAGAGATTTTCGTAAGAGGGGCGAAAACGTTGCTCTTGTTTACGCAAAATGTCCGTCAAGTCAGCATATTTCATTTGCCGAGAGGGTCAACAGAGCAGACACAACCAAAACTGATGTTTCAGGTAACCAAGGCATTATCACACTCAGGAATCATGAGAGAGTTGTCTGTTCCCATGGAGCTGCCATTACATCAGAACAATGTTAGCACAGACGACTTACAACTTTTAAAACAATGTAACTTTCTACGAGCATCATCGCAAGTTTTAAAGCATACTGAGGATACGAAGGAAACCAATGACTATTTATTGAGGTCGGCGATCACAATCAACGTAGAAGGCACCCTAACTGAATGCGGACGCTTGTTCTTTGAGGACAAAATCTCGCTACATAATTCATCCGAGGTTTGGTTTGTTGCCTCATCAATGGGCAAAGGCCAAGCGATGCAGTTTTCAATGAATGACAGGAGCTTGCTCCCAGCAGCTGCAGTTGCTGTCAAGTTGTTACCTCAGGAGAGTCAGAAGTTTGTACCAGAACCTATTGTCAGTCACGCCACTGGAGGTAAATCGCATCATAACGGTTCAGTGTTCTGCTACCTTCCACTCCCAATTCACAGTGGTCTCCCAGTTCATATAAATGGAACATTTGCAGTAGCTTCGAACAGACGCCATTTAAAGCAGAAAACAGAAGACGACAAAGCCTGCCCTGAAGATGAGTGGAATAATGTTCTGTTTCAAGATTCTGTATGTACCGCCTACCTAGATCTTCTGGAAGACATGAAAACTAATGCTACTACGTACTGTTTTCACTCTCTGTGGCCCAGGTCGTGTGACATAGAGCCATATTTTGAACCACTTGCGCGTTCGTTCTATCAGAAAGTTGCTAGTGGAGGCTATTCCGTTTTCTCAGATGGAGACACTTGGGTGGGCATCAATCAAGTGGTCTTTCTGGAGCCAAACTTTCGTCATGATCAACGGGTTGGAGACATATCAGTTGCAGTATTACAGAAGATGGTCAATGAACAAGACGTTGTCGTTGATCTCCCAGTAGAAATTTTACAGTCATTTATTGACTATGGCCTTGCGGAGAAAATCCAGTTGAAAGCCTACGACAGAAGTAGGTTTTTCCGCGAACTGTTTTTCCCAAACATTGGCTCCGTACCGGCAAACAAACGAGATGAATTGATCTTATTTGCATTGGATGATTCAAATGGAGAATTCGATGAATTAATAAAAACCTATGCCTGCATTCCGGCTTCACCCAGTGGTAAGATCCTTAAACGCCCAATGGAACTTGTTCACCCAAACAAATCAACAGCCTCGCTATTTCATAGCGAAGATGAGAGGTTTCCGTTTGGAACTGCTGAGACCTTCTTAGATTCTGTGAGACTTGCAAAACTTGAACAACTCGGTATGAAGGCTGAAAGGGGAATCACTGCAGATGATATCTACCACAGTGCCAACAATATTCCTCAAATGTTAAAGTCTTCAGAAGCAAAGCAGAAATCAGAGAATATCATGACGTTTTTAGACAGCAATCCGATGTATCTTCAACAAACTGTTTCTGGGGAACCATTAGCACTACTTCTGCGAGATATGCCTTGGATATCTGTAATGGAGGAAATGCCCTTTGGTTTACCAAGAAGTCTTTATTCACTTGTTAACCATCGAGAAGTCCCTTTCTACAAGCCCACAGAGGTCACAAGTAAAGATAAAGTTAATCTCGTTGGAACAGTGAAGCCTATTGTAAGAGTAGATTCATCAAGTCACTTAGCAAAAGGTTTCGGCTGGGATAAGATGCCAGATGCATTGGACGTAGTGCAACATTTGAAAACCGTGGTCAGTCACTATACCCCGGACGAAAAGCAATATTACATTTCAATTGTCAAGGAAATCTACTCATTTCTAGATCAGGCTGAAGATCCTGAAGCTATCGAGTGTGCTTTGCAGGGAATTAAAAACTCAAGCTGGATTTGGAATGGGGATGGTTTTTCGTCTCCCGAAGCTGTTCTTGCTGGAAGGCCTCCAATTGATCTCACTCCGTTCATCTGGTCACTCCCCTCAGAGGTGGTACAGTTCTCAAACTTGTTCTCAAAGTTTGGGATGAGTGACCGCTGCGATGCGCTATTTTTAGTGCAGGTTCTACATGTCATCAAAAAGAAGTATGAATCGGGACTCAAGTATTCAACCTTGGACGTAAAAAGAGACCTGCAGCTATGCGCAGATATCTTGAATGAGATCAAGCCAAACGTTGGTGAACAACTAGCCTTAGAGATTCAAGAGAAAGTCCTCATCCCAACACACGTAGAAGGAGATTCTTACGTGAGGCTTGCACCAGTTAAAGATTGCATGTACTGTGACCACGAGTGGGTTAAAGATATCACGCCTGCTGATGAAGAAAGACATTTTTTCGTGCATCCAAACATTTCAAATAGTACAGCCGAGCTTTTACAGGTTCGCACACTAAGAAATCAACTGCTGGAAGCTGACGAGATCGGAGATGAATTTGGTCAGGAAGAAAAACTAACTTGCAGATTAAACAGACTTCTAGAGGAATACACAGATGGTTTTTCAGTACCAAAGGAGCTAATTCAGAACGCAGATGATGCTGGCGCCACTGAGGTCAGATTTCTTTACGATGAAAGAACCAACGAAGATGCTATGACCTGTTTGATTGACGAGGGAATGAAAGAATGCCAGGGTCCTGCTTTGTGGGTTTACAACGACGCTGAGTTTAGAGATGAGGATTTTCAAAACATTACCAAACTCAATGGCAGCTCAAAAGAACAGGAAACCGAAAAAATTGGAAAGTTTGGGCTTGGTTTTAATACGGTCTACAATTTGACAGACGTTCCGATGTTCCTTAGCAGAAACTACTTTGTGATTTTTGATCCCAACACCTTTTATCTTGGAAAAGCCATCACAAATAAGAGCAAACCAGGAATAAAAATCGACGTCAACAAGAATCCAGAGAGAAAGCGAAGGTTTCGGAACCAATTTAAACCTTTCAATGGTATTTTTGGTTGCGATCTGCGAATGAATAAAGCTGACAACTCATTTCCAGGAACTCTTTTTCGATTTCCCTTGAGAACCAAAGCGCAAGCCGTGAGAAGTGAAATTAAACAAGTTCATTACGACAACAACCAAATGAAAGAGCTGTTAGAGATTTTTGTACGCGGGGCGAAAAAGTTGCTCTTATTCACGCAAAATGTCCGTCAAGTCAGCATTTTTCATCTGCTTGGAGAGTCTTCGGAACCGATGCAGCCTAGACTGATGTTTCAGGTGACGAAGTCATTATCACAAACAGGCATCTGTAGGGAGTTGTCTTTTCCCTTAACATTTCCATCACATCTTGGAAATCTTTCCAAGGACGAACAGTACCTCTTGAAACAAAGCAACTTTCTACGAGCATCATCAGAGATCGCGAAGCATACAGGGGATTCCAAGGCAACCAGAAATGATTTGCTAAGGTCAGCGTTTACATTTAACATTACAAGCAACGTTACCGAACGCGGACGCTTTTTCTTTGAGGATAACAGCTCATTACAAAGTATAGCCGAGGTCTGGTTTATTGCTTCGTCTATGGGCAAAGGCAAAGCGATGCAATATTCGCGTAATGACAGGAGTCTGCTCCCAGCAGCTGCAGTAGCTGTTCAGTTGATAACCAAGGAGAATGAGAAGTTCACACCAAAACCTGTTGTCCGCCATGCCACTGGAGGCAAATCACATCACAACGGAACAGTGTTCTGCTACCTTCCAATTCCAATACACAGTGGTCTCCCTGTGCATATAAATGGAGCCTTCGCAGTAGCTTCGAACAGACGCCACTTGAAGCAGAAAACAGAGGACGACAAAGGCTGTGCTGGAGTAGAGTGGAACAACGTTTTATTAACAGATTCTGTTTGTCGAGCTTATCTAGATCTCCTAGAAGACATGAAGTCAAGAGCTACTACGTACTCTTTTGACACACTGTGGCCCAGGGAGTGCGACGTGGAACCATGCTGTGAACCACTTGCGCGCTCATTCTATCAGCAAGTTGCCACTGGAGGGTATTCCCTCTTTTCAGATGGAAACAGATGGGTTGACATCAATGAAGTGGTCTTTCTAGAACCATACTTTCGTGAGGATCAAGATGTTGGAGACATATCTTATGCCGTTGTACAGATGTTAGTCACCGAGGACAAAGTTGTCGTTGATCTCCCTGTGGATATTTTCCAGTCATTTGTTAAGTATGGTCTAGAGGAACACATCCGGTTGAAAACGTACGATAAGGGCAGATTTCTTCGTGAATTGTTTTTCCCAAACATCCCGTCCATACCACCAGACATGCGAGACAAATTGGTCTTACACGCTTTGGATGATGCCAAAGGAGAATTTGATGAGCTTATTGCAACTCATGCTTGCATTCCATCTTCACCTAATGGTGAAACGCTTAAGTGCCCCGCCGAACTTATTCACCCGAAAAAGGCAGCGGCCTCGCTATTTCAAAGTGAAGATGAAAGGTTTCCCTTTGGCACTGATGACACATTTTTAGATTGTATAAGACTTACCAAACTCGAGCAACTTGGAATGGTGGCAGATGATCCTCCTTGGGGTATATTTGAAGAAAGGGCACAAAGTGTCGGCGTTTTGAATGAAGAAAGTAGTAAAGCAGCTTTAGAGCGTGCCAAAGCATTAATACGTCTTCTGGAAAGAAAGATATACTCTGAAGCTGAAGGCAAAGTCCCCGAAGGTGTCCAAAAGAATCTTTTGCAAGTCAAATTTCTTCCAGTTTCCACAAAACCAGAACATTTTCCCCTTTTCTGGAAAGGGGGCGATCTACGTCCCGAAAAAAGAGCAAAATTGTTGTCACCCGAGGAGGCTTTTGTTGAAAGCGCGATGTATCTTGTTTGCTGTTCTGAGCCGCTTGTAGATGGTAACATCTATCTTTCTTCAACTGTTAAAAAGTTTTTACAGTTGGACAAAGAAGCCTCAATTAAGCATATCATCACCCAACTTGATGTGGCTTCTTCGTGTGCAATCGACGGTCTGAATTCAATGCAATTTGAACAAATAAAGACTACCTGTTTAGAAGCTTACAAGTATCTTCAGGCAGCTCTGAATAAGAATCAAATTGAAGAAGATAAAGTGCGAGAAGTTTTTCAGGGGAAAAAAATCATTCTTGCCGGAAGAGAGTTTGTTGATACAGAACATGTTGCTTTTGAATTGCCTGTTGACTGTTGCCCTTACCTACATAAGCTGCCTGAGGATCTGGCGAAACAGTTTGGCAATTTGCTGAGAAGCGTTGGTGTAAAACAGGTGTATGAGGCCAGCGATTTCTTCACTTCCTTGGAACAAATAAAAAGGACCTTTGGGGAAGCAGTACTTGAAAAGAATATTCTTCAAGCTGCCGTTCATCTAGCTTGTCAACTGGGCGAGTGCCTTACAGATTGTAGCGTATTTGATGGAAAACAACAAACACTTTATTTACCTGACTCCCAAGGCATAATGAGACCTGTGAATAAACTATGCATCCAAGACTGCCTCTGGATTTCAGATGAAAAAGATGTTTACTATGCAGAGAGCATGATTCCTCAACCGATATGCCTGAAATTGGGGGTAAAAACACGGCGAGCAGAAGCATTAAGCCGCCTTGCAGTTGGAATTCCGTTTGGACAAAAGGAGAAGCTGACAAACCGATTGCAGAGACTACTTCAAGCCTACCCATGTGAAAAAGAAATTTTAAAAGAACTTCTTCAGAATGCTGATGATGCAGAGGCAACAGAGATTTGTTTTATTAAAGACCCAAGACAACATCCAGATGAACGTGTTTTTGAAGATTCATGGAAACCACTTCAGGGTCCTGCATTATGCGTGTACAACAACAAACCATTTGCTGAAGCGGATATCAAAGGAATACAGAATCTTGGGGAAGGAAGCAAAGGCGATGACCCCAACAAAACTGGCCAGTACGGCGTGGGCTTTAACGCTGTATACCATTTGACTGATGTACCTTCATTCGCCTCATGTGGCGACGAGATTGGGGATGTTTTATGTGTTTTTGATCCAAATTGCAAATACGTTCCGGGAGCTACCGAGTGGGAACCGGGCAGAATGTTCAGGGAAACAACGAAGTTGAGAAACGATTTTGTAGATGTTTTTTCTTGCTATAACGAGGATCATTTTTCCTTACGAAACGCTACTATGTTTCGATTTCCATTACGAACTGAGGAAATGGCAAAAGATTCTAAGATATCTAATTCTCCTATTACACTGGAAACGCTACAAGGGATGATGGAGTCATTAAAAACAGAGCTCTTTGAAGTCCTTCTGTTCGTTAACAATGTCAAAAAGATTACAATGTGTGACATCGACGACAGCGGACAGGTGGTGAACTCCTATTTCGTCAAAGTGGAAATGTCAGAGGAAGACTCATTGGAAAGGCAGACGTTTGCCTCCTACGTGAAACAAATTGGGGGGTCATTTAAGCAGCATCCGGAAAGGTCACCCATTCAAGCCGAGGTTAAAAAGTGTTCCTACGTTCTGACCTTAAAAGACAGCAAAGAGAACGAGGAAAAATGGCTAATTGTTCAGCAGATTGGGTTTGAGAACCACGTGAAAGAAAGCATAATCGAAGCCTACAGGAGCAATAACCTAGGGATGCTTCCTCGTGGTGGTGTCGCTTGCTTATTGGATCGTAAATCAGCTTCAGCACAAAGAACAGAGGAAAAGAAGAAAGTGTACTGTTTTCTCCCGCTTCCCATAGAAACAGATCTTCCATTGCACATCAATGGCCATTTTGCACTGGATCATGAGGCACGACGAAGCTTAGACTCGACTGGTGGCTACAAAACTGAATGGAACAACTTCTTATTGAGTGATGTCATAGCGTCGTGCTATCTCACACTTTTGGACAAAGTAAGACGTTTCTATAGTTTGCCCGTTTCTCAGAGTCCCGAAGAAATTAGCCTCAGCCGTTGCAAAGACGAATTGGCAAAAAATATAAAAGAGTACGAAAAGCTGTTTCCGCGTGCTATCTCAAGCAGTCAGCATTGGGCCACTTTGGTAACGTCCGTGTACCAGAGAATGGACTAAACGAGGTTGCGACTTCTTCCAGTGTTGCGCGGTGACACGACAAATGGCTCTACTCCTAACTCTCAGCTCGCGTGGCTTCCTTTGACTGGAGATGGGAAGGAACAAGCATTCTTCAATAACCTCGCTGAATGCGATTGCTTTACTCCTGATTTCAAGCGACTTTTTGATACAATCGAGATGAAACGTAAGATCAAGGAGAAAGCGCTTTTTGAAAATATTTTACTTAAAACTGGGTTTAACCTTGTGGCATTTTCTGTGTCCGTTTGTAAAACGGCACATGAGTGTGGAGTTCAGACATCCCTTGTTTCTCCTTCTGCGGTGATGGACTTTTACAAATCTTTTAGTGGCGAAACTCCTCTTTGCAGTATTGGCTCGCTCTTTGTTGATGTCAGAGACACCCCTTTCAAGGATGTTCAAACTGTGGTCACAGTGCTTAAATACTGCAAGGAAAGTGATAGCTTTCCAGGACATTTGCCAGGCCTGCCTTTACTCGTAACACAAGACAACCATTTGCAACCTTTTAACGCTGCCAATCGCAAGTTTCTCTCTCGCCACCACCACATTCTTCCACAGTGCAAAGAAATGTTTGTCCATGACCATATTAGGACGCATATCTTTGGTGATGCCAAGAGTCTGGACTTCTCAGTGTTCAAACATTTTGATGTCGAGAGTTTTGCGGCTAATTTGCATCGAGCACTACCTCAAGAATATTTGAACAGTAATCAGTACATAAAATGGAACCCAAGGCAGGTTTCAGAGCCAAATGGTGACTGGGTTTACCGAGTGTGGAGGTTCCTGGACGAACAAGTAGAGAAGGTCCTCAGGGAAGAAAGAAAGAAAGAAAATGAGATGGCAAGCGACATTCAGATAACTCGTACATCAGCTACTCAAGTGACGCAGCAACGGGAGGAGAAGGAGACCCGAATCATTCGAACAGTGCTTAAACCTCTGAGCAAGTTCAGTATCCTCCCATGCACAGAAACGACCCCTTCGCCAAAATCAAGTGATGGTAACGCCTCAGGAGTAGTAGCAGAGCACTACTTAGTACCGTTAAGCCTGGCTGAATCTGTCCTTGATTTCACCTCCCTCGATACTACAAGTAAATTTCTTGTTGAAGCATTGAGGAAGCTAAGTCTCCCGGAATTGAACAGAGCTGTTTTGTCATCAACTGTGACTTCAGCTTACACTTCAATAAATTCCTGTGGACTTGCACGACGGCTAGTTGCAACCATAAACTCACCCAAATCTCTTCTGTTAGCGCTTTGTCAGAAAATCGCTAGAAACCCGAACTCTCTTCACGGCAATTTGAGCAGTGACGAATGCCGTACAATTTTAGAGCATTTCAGCAACAGCGTAAAAGACCTGGAGGAAGGGGACAAACTAGCGTTAAGGAAACTTCCTCTTTATGAAACAACGGATGGAGGACAAGTGAATCTAGAAAGCAAAAGCGTCTGTGTGGTTCCTGTTGAAGTACCACATGACGGAATGGACGTTTTAGGAAATGAGAGTGATGTCATCTTTTTGAAAAGCTGTTGTAATCTTTCTCCGCTGTATCAGTTTCTGGAGTTTGAATCTGTTTCATCAGTTGATATCTACTGCAATTACATCTTAAAAAGCTTTTCCCTTTTCTCAAGTCAGGCAAGGTTAGTTCATCTAGAGTACATCCGTGATATAATATTGAAACAACGATCTACGAAGGAGACTGACAAGAAGAGGCTGCTATACTGCCTGGCAAACACAGGCATCATTGCCTCGAGAGACGGCACTTTATTGCAGGCATCGTGTTACTTTGACCCTAAACATGTCGTGTTCAAAACTATGCTTTCGGAAGACATGTTTCCCCCAAAACCTTTCGACGATGAATGGTTGCCGTTTCTGAGAAGTATCGGACTCGTTCATGAAGTTTCCCAAGACCTCTTTAAACGGTTTGCTATGGAGGTGGCACGTGAAGGCTCAACCACGCACACGGATAAGACGGACAAGAAGTCGGAAGTGCTGGTTACTCACCTGTACAGCAGAGAAGATGTTGTACAAGAAGGTCTTCTTCAAGCTATTTTGGATGTTAGATTTGTTGCTCCAGCTCCTTTGAAGCCAGAGCTTCGTGAAATGTGTCCACCGTACGGTGCGGGAGATATTGGCCATACGCCATACATTCCATTCAGAGGATCTGTACTGGCAAGGCATGCTGAAATTGTTTGGACGACTGCGGCTATTCTTCCGAGGTGGGCAAACCCTAAAAGACATGTTGGAGGGATGAGTGCCACTGAGTGGAAAAGCAAAACCGACTACTGCAATGCAATTATTGCGAATCTGAAAATTCTGGAAGAACCAACAGTGGAGCAAGTAACCTTTCACTGCCAAAATGTGTCTTTTCAAATGGAGAAAGAAAACGAAAGCGACTTACTCCCTGAACGGGTTGCATCCAGGATGTCAGTAATGAGAAACATCTACCAATTTCTCGAGGGCAGCGCCATCCACACCACCTTTACAAAAGAAAGGCTGAGGCACACACCATGCATTGTGGTTGAGGGTGGTAAACGCGTTGTTAAGGCTCTGCAAGTAGTCATTGAATTAGACAAAAACCTCGAAATTCGACCATTTCTTTACAGCCTGCCCGGAGAACTCTGCCAGTTTAAGCTCTTCTTTCAGTATCTAGGCTGTGCACCCTCAGTTAAGCCATCTCACTTCGCTATGGTTCTTGAAATGCTTCAAGATAATTGCAAGAAAAACAGATTAGAGCCAAATGAGATTGAAAAAGCATTGAAAGCAGAGAAGAGTATTTTTGAAGCTTTAGAAGATTACCCAGAAGGTCTCCAGGATCTTTCATCCTTGTACCTACCAGCCATGCGTCCGTTTGTTAAGAGACTCGAGGGCACTGCACTATCCATTTTTTTGTGCAACGCCGCAGAGCTTCTATTTGATGACGCACCATACTATCACGATCGCCTTGGATGCTTTGAGCAGCTCTTTGTGGTGGACCTAAAGAGGGCTAATGTGCGTTGCAGTCCATCTCATATTTACAAGGATCTTATCATGCTCCTCCCCCATGCTGCAAGACCTCAGTTGCTCTCCTATGCTGTTGAAGAAAAATTCGCCAATTCCAGAGGTAAAACCGCGATTTTTGATGTTGGGGCAGCTAGTATAATGAAGAAGACGCTTCATTCAGAGCAGTTTTCCCGTGGAATCATCAGGCTTATTCGTCATGCATGTCACAAAAATCAGGTGGAAGTAGACGAAAGTGTAGTAACCGTGATAGAGGGCAGGTTAAAAACTACTGAGATTCATGGAGTTAGTAGAATTGAAACTAATCTAGTTCACGACGGAAAAGTTATTACAGGAAGTGAAATGGAAGTACCTTTCTATCTGGAAAAAGTCTGTCGCTCAGGTGAAGAAAATTGGAGTCTATATGTTAATGTTGCCGATGACGTGGAGGAAACGTTATCTACAATTGCTATGGTATTAGCAGACGTGATTGCCGAGGCTTGTAATGGTCTCCTGCGAGAGACAGCTATGTTCATTCCCGAGATGCTGCAGAGTCAACCTGGTAAAATATCGTCCTTACTTGATAAGAGGAAGATTCGACCAGATGATGCCTACGACTCAAAGAAAGGAGACGTCTATCCTCAGCCAGGAGATTTTATTCCAATCGAAGATCATCACCTCCTTAATCCAGAGTTTGGGACGTTTTATCCTGGTGAATACGTTGGATACGAAGTTGAGGATCCAAGTCTACATCTCGAAGATGGCGATGCAACGTACATCTACGCAGTGATAATCGAGGAAATATGCCCTGACATAGACACCGACACCAGTATCTTTTGCAGGAATTACAGAATTAACACTGGAAGCGACAAAACACCAGTCGTCCAAGCAACGGAGCTGTACAAATTTTACCGTCCTCGAGAAGTAATATCTACTGCCGTTGCCCTAACAGATCAGCAGGATAGCACCCATGCACCGAATGAAAAACAGCATATATTTCAGAAGATCACAGAAGTACTCGAGGAGGCCTGGAAACTACCAAAGGACAAAAGAAGACAAGTTGTTAAACGGCTCTTTTTACAATGGCATCCAGACAAAAATCCCGGAAATGAGGAGTTCTGTACCGAGGTTTTTCTGTTCATAAAGAGTGAAATTGAAAGGCTTGAAAGACTGGAAGGGGCCCGAAGGAGAGAAAGTGGAAGTAGCGAGAGTTTTGATTTCAGTGGTTCATATGGTGCCTACTTTGGGTTTTGGGGGACGCGCGCAAGGCACTATAGTTCACGGCGCCAAACGTACCGAGAAACCTACTATCAGCATTACGGGTCAAGAGATCCTGGGACGCGAACCTGGGAAGTTCCTCCAAGCTTCTGCACAACGAATCCTCAGCCGCGACAGGCAAAACGCTGGTTCAGACAGGCTGAGGCCGATTTGAAAGCCGTTGTGAATGACATGAACTCCGTTAATCCATCCTACGAATGGGCCTGCTTAAAATGCCATCAGGTAAAATCCAGCAGAAGAATGTATGTCATTTTATTAAGGTTTTATACATCTTTGTCTTGTCCTTGTCTCATTTTTGCTTTGAAGTTTTGTATTGTCACAGCGCTGTTTATTTTGTTTGTTTGTTTTAGGCCGCTGAAAAAGCCTTGAAAGCTGCCCAATATGCAGTAGATGCTTTTAAGACCAAAGTCCATAACCTGGTCCAAAATTCCCTTATGCTAGATGACTCCCGCCTGATTAACCTTTCCGGCGAGCTCGAAAATATTGTGGGCGATTCAACGCGTATGCGCTACCCTGATCGACTTGACTTTCCAAAGATCCCGAATGATGTTTACAAAGAGAGCGACGCTCGCCAAGCAGAGAAGGTAGCAAGAGAAATTGTAGAAAAAGTTCGAAGCAGAGTCTTTTGAGGTACGTCGTTAATAGCGTGAAAAATGGTTTTAACTAACATTCCAGGGCCTTTGATAGTGAAAAAAAATAAATTATCTAGACACACATCTCATTCATAATGTATCAGTTAAATACAATGTGATTATGAATTAATTTTGCCCTGACTAGCACATCTTCGTTAAGTGGGCATCAGTTTCATGACTTTTTTAACCAATACACTGAGATCATATACCTCGGTCCTGATTATAAACAACTATCGGATGAGATTTTTTTATATATCCGGAATAATCAAGGTCGAGGTAAGTGTTATCAGCCAAGCCGAAGGCCGAGGCTGATACCTTGATTTTTCCGTATATCACAAAACCCGAATCTAATAATTGTTGTATTGTACATTATTGAAATGGAGATAAGGATAAATACAGAATCGCACGAAATACAGTTTAACGTTGCTCTTGGAAATCGTGCATTGCGCGCGCAACCTACACTTCAGCCTCAAATCGTCTAGTAGATAACTAAGTACTCTGTAAGTTGCAATGATTTCCAAAATTAACTGTAGGCTCTTAGCCATGGCTATTCTCTTTTCTTTCCTTTTTCAGAATTAAGCCGACCCCGCACTTCAACCACAGAACACGATTGAACAAGAACAGACTTATTGTGATGAAATGCGATTGTCTTTTAAGAAAGGGTCAACTGAAAAATTTCACTCTTAGTTGCTTTTCTCTAAGAAACATAAGTTTTAAGAAAACCCTTACCCCTGAAAATTCAAGTCAACTTATAGATCGTTTTCACTCACGTACTTAACAACTATGTAAATTTCTTACAGCAAAAGAACGTTTGTAGATAAGAAAACAGTTCAATTCCAGAACTGATTTCGAGATTTGTTTTGATACAACAACATGGCCTCCGTGACGTCATATGAAAACAATCTATACTTAACTCTAATTAGTCCGTATTTGCTGCGTTGTGCGACCAAGGAGCGGCCCCTCTTTAACTTTAACTTTATAACCGTCCATGCTACGGCCACCAAAATTACAAAGAATAATGTACTCATCATTTTCAACTTCTAAGCATAACCTGATTGACTGACTGACGTAATATGATTTTATTACAACGGCATATTGTTGAATTTATTGGCAGACTCCAAATTCCGTTAAAGTAGTCATAGGGCATATATATACGTAAATAGCAAGGTGTTCTGACAAAATCAAGAAGTTGACTAACACAAAAACTATCTACAGTAATAGTATTGACGTCACGATGACGTCATTTATCACTAAAAGAGAAACTGGAAGCAGCATCTTGAGACCAATATTTTGAATTATTCAAATGTATTCCATTTCACGTAAAATTCGTATAGGTCGAGGTATTCTTAAAAGACTTGATGTAAGTATAAGAGGATGCTTCCTTAACAGTCATAATAACTTTTGTAAAATAATGCCTAATAAAGTGTAATACAATAACTCAATTAGTAAAAATAGAAATAAACCTATTTTTAAGAAAAGTAAAATGCAAATATTGGAAAAATGGATGTCAAAACTCAGTTGCCATGTTAACATCATTGTTGACGTACACGTCACGACGACTTTAAATTTTCCAAATGCATGTAAATCAAGTTTAGGAAAAGTCGCTAACTTTGGCTTGCACGATTTTGAAGTTATTCAATTTTTTAGCGAGGGCAGTCCCCCCTGTCTGAATAGGGTCAAATTACACATGGTGTGCTACTGTGGAACCCAAGGGCAAGGCATGAGTAGTTTAAGCCTCCCCAGGCCTCTTGCCATGCTGTAGTATTTTGAAAAGGCTAGGTTAAACGGTTAAAAGATAAGGGTCGATGAGGTGTACAAATCTCACCAGCGTGTTTCTAAGGAACCGATAAACGAATAACAAACATTAGAAAAGAGGAACACCTTCGATAGAAGGTGTCCGCTCTCTGACCTGGCCTGACCCCTCAGGCTTGTGTTTCTCGAATTAAGGACTCGAAAACTAGCTAGCAGGGCCATAAAAGCCACCCAAAAACCATTCTTAAACTTTAACTTTTCAAGCAATTTCTCCCAGGTAATTTCCAGTTTATCACAGGATCATCAAAATTCTTTTGGGAGATTTTTCATGACTTTTTACCAGGTTTGTAACATGATCGTTTGACGGTTCTACAGTAAAACAAAGGCGAATAGCGCTATCTGTATCAACTGCAAAGTTTTAAAACAGCAATCAAGGTCACAAATAACTCCTTCGTGCCCTGTGATCTAACATCGGATTTAACGATCCACATCTACGAAAGGAACAACACAAGTTTATGTCGTAGCTAAGTAATATGTAAAGTGGTGTATGTTCTAGAGTGACGTTTAAATAAAAATTCACACGGTTTTTTTTCAAGTCAACTATGAGCCCTTCGCAAGAAATAGTCACATGGTACAAAAAACACCTTGCTTTTTGGCAAACGACGCAGAGTAGCAACAAAAAGAAAGAGATTTCATCATTCAAAACAAAATATCCTTTCTTTCAAGGCCCGACTGCCTCGTTTGCCGTCCAACAAGGTGTTTTTTGTACCATATAACCGTTCCGTGTAAAGGGCTCATTGTTTAGGACACTCTTTCACTTTGGGCTTTCCCCAGGGACAAAAAGTCTTTAAGAAAACTTGAGTTTATGTCGCAACATAGTAAAATAATACAGTAAGTAGTGTATTTTCTTGAGTCAAGATTTAATAAATTTTTCACACCCCACTCGCTTTTTTGCAAGACTCTTCTTCACTTCAGTAATGCTTTTCCCAAAGAAAAAAAGAAAACTGTACGAAATGACCAACGAGGTGTCCGCTATAAGCGGTTGCAAAAAGCAATGGAAATAGCTTACGCGTACAGTTCATACTGTATTGTTGAAAAGCCAAGTACAAGACGAAATACTGAATTGCTCATACTATGTAGATTGACCTCTACTGAGATTTAACGTTTTTAAAGTTAAAACTGAAATCCAGAATATTTGGCATTTGTCGGTAAACGCAATAGGCTACTATAAAAAGGCTTAATACGCAAGACGAAGAGCATTGAAATCGTAAAAATAGTCACCTTCTTCTAAAAACAATCGTTTGTGTCAAATTTCGTGAAAAGCTGAGACGCTACAACATTTTTTTTTCTAATTTTCTTCAAGAAGGGCTATCTAACTGCTACAAAGCACCAATAATTCGAACGAGAGCTCACTCAAAACTGTTCAAGATTCGTCTGATACACAATAACCATATACCCTACAATTGGTGCTCTTCTCCTTCCGCTTGCCATCTCTCCTTTCCGATTTGGACTGCTGGGAGAAATAAGCCTAACGGTATCCGCGAAGGACGCGACATCGTGGTCATGGCTACCAAAGCTCCCTTCTGACTCGCATTAAAGCCTTATTTACCCCTAAGGGACTGTTCACACCTGAAACCCAGGCACTACTCAGGGATCGCCACCTCAGTTCTGGCGCAGGTGCTTGAAAAAAATGCTTGTGTTGACACTAGTACCCAGGGAGTACGGTAATCGAACACCGTTCTCGGGGACCAAGTGTGAACGCTGCCTTCTAACGCTTACAAGACGCAAACATAAGCTCAAGCGTCCTATGCAGCTACAGTAGAGTACTCACCATTCTAGATAATACAACGGGCAGACGAATCCATTTCAGTGAAAAGCATACAAACGTTTAAAGCAGTTCACAAGAGAATAATATTCAGCACTGTGTACAAAACCTGTGTAGAAACGAAAAAAAGAACGATATCCCCTTGACTGTCCGTGACAGCGTTACCACTACTAACTTCAAAAGGAAACTAAAACTTCACTTTTTAAGCCTACATTGAACTAGCGCAGGATACTCATAGTTTATTGTTTATTTTATTTGTCACTAGTTATGGACTGTTATAGGACTGCATGCATGTAAACTTATTTAACTTCAGTTTTGTATCTTGTTTTAGTTTTGTAGTTTAGCCTACAGTCTTCATTTCTATATAAAATAATTTCTGTCATTCTGACCACTGGCCGTATAAGCCCCCGGCTTTGGCTTTACTTAGTTTGTACTATATGAGCGATGGAATAATAAAGTTAAAGTTAAAGTTAAAATCATTTCCATCGTTCACGTGCGTTTACAAACTTTTGAAACAGACTCGTGTGGACCTATGGCACAAGGGTGGTGTAGATGTACGTGCGACACTCGCCTTCTAACAAATTGCTCGAGTTCAGTCCTGATGGCGACGCCATTTGTGGGTTGGGTCTATTGCTGTGAAAATTCCAAATTACAATAGGCCCTTTGCAGCAAGTCATTTACGTGATACAAAACCGCCATGCTAAAGAGAATGGGTCGCACTAGGACAAAATAAAGAAAAAGCTCAATTTATTAAAAAAAATGGTCATGTGCAGAATTGTTGTTTTGCCTATTCAACCTTTTGCTTTTTTTTTTGCCGTTTTCGTTGACGTCGCCGTCGTCGTTGCTTAAGCTCCCTATTAACTAGCTGCAAAGGGTTTATCAGTAGATCTCGCATATGGTAGGCGACGAGTCACTTCCTATATGTGCTACTACAGAAGTTGTGTAGGAATCACTATTATATTATTAGCTATGGACATAGCCTTTATTCATGACTACACTGTTTGCACCGTCGGTGTAATCAAGGCTATTATAGAGCACTCTCTAAAATCATGCAGAAGTCATATAAAATTTCTCTGTATGCCGTGTAAGATTATGAAAAATTCCTGCAAATCATAAAATCTACGTTCTGGACATTACTATTCTTTAAAAAGGGTTAAGAACCTTATACTCCAGACAAATAAAACGCCTTTTAAAATAGCCTGTTCTTGGGGAAGAGAATACTCCTTCGTCACTTTATAAACACACGCTACCACAAAAAAGCTAAGGGTCTTCGGTTCAGTTGTGTCACGCATTCTACCGCTGTATGAAAAAGGCGATCCAGCCACGACTTTGTCGTTTCTTGGGCGCAGTCTTTATGCAGTGGTAAGACCTGCAAAAGAAGACATAACATACACGGTCATGTCAACACATAAATGAAATCTACTAGTTGTCACTGTAGCTGTACGAAAAATCTCATTGCATTGCATTCGATCGCGAAGTTATGAGAATAGAGCTTTTTACCGATACGGCGGCCATATTGAATTAATTCGATTTGAGGAGTATTATAGGATGCTCAGGGGGCATGAGCACATTTCGTTTGTATTTTCGAACCCTTTTCGGGACATTTTTTCTTAAAGTTTTCTTAGAATAAGATTGTAATGGGGAAAGAGATCCTTGTGCCGTGTTTGGATGTAATAATGATCGCCTTTTTCCCGAGAAATATACAGTGAAAGACCATATTTCTAATACTAAACTAGAAAAAGGCGATCATTATTACATCCAAACACGGCACAAGGATCTTTTTTCCCATTACAATCTTATTCTAAGAAAACTTTAAGAAAAAATGTCCCGAAAAGCGCCCGAAAATACAAACGAAATGTGCTCATGCCCCCTGGGCATCCTATAATACTCCTTAAATCGAATTAATTCAATATGGCCGCCGTATCGGTAAAAAGGTGTATTGATTGAGATGTACGACCAACCCTAGAACAAAATTGTCTCGTGCCAACCCCATCTATTTTGTAACTTTTGCGCCGTACTACCTTCTCCGCTAAACAGAAAAAGTAAGCCTCCTCTCCACCCCCTATTCCAAGTGGTCTGGGTCTAAAAACGAACAAGTATAATTGCCGTGCTATCCTAAACAACTTTGGATAGAGGGGAGTGGGAAAATCGGGCATTCGTTTGGCGACGGTTTCAGTTTTTGCCAGGATGACAGGAAAAAATAGGGATTTTCGCGATTTGTCCCACCAGGTTTTGTTCGGGGTTGGACAGTTTGTGGACAAAGTCTAGTAGATCTTAGCAAAGGATAATGAAATCGAAAATATTAATTGGTAGTCTATCTCTGCTGAACTCTCCCGAATATACGTGGCTAACACAACTGACCTCCCCGTAGCAGCCCTGCTCCAACCCCCACCCCCTACTCCCAAAAAATACAAAACAAAAACTCTCACAGAGGTATGTATAAGGAGGAACCGTTCTTCAAAGCCCCTATCAAAAGTGTTTTCGTAAGGTTCTGTTTAACATAAAAATCCTAAAAAAAAACATACTTAATTATTTACCAAATGGCCCCAGAACAAGAGGAGGGAAAATTTGTTTCATTCTTCAAGGTGTAAATTCATAACTGCTTCAGACGTCATTGAGTCTACTTGAACTGCTTGTGAATAATTTAGTCACAGGAAAAAATAACAGATTCCCATTATTGGATATTTTAAGGTATTTAAAGAATACCCATAAAAATCCCAAATTTGGCAAAGCGAGACAAGTCCCAACCAGGGAATTCCCAAACAAGTTCCCTGGTTGGGACTTGTCTCACTCTTTCAAATTTGGGATTTTTGTGGGAAGTTCTTTCAATACCCTAAAATATCCAAAAACGGGAATCTGCTATTTTTTTCCTGTGAGTATCACTACTTACCATACTTCTTTCTGGTCTCATCACGCTTTTCGCGTCTTTCTTTTTCGCTGTAATAGACAGGAGGAAATCACTAAATGAGACGCGAGTATCACTAAATGACCGAGTATCTGAGGTAATTACAGAGAATTAAAATGTATTCACATCCTCGGGAAAAAAATATAAAGTGTGATTCTTTAAGTCATTCAGCGGCGGTGAATCCTGACACAACTGTTTGACCTTTTGTTCTATCTTGGAATTTAAAATAACAACTAGTTTATTTACTGTAGTGTAAAAAGATATGAAGAGAATTAAACATAATTTTAAAATATTCTTTAGTTTATATCTGTTGATATAACGAAAAGGTATTATATAAAAGATCAGCGTTGTTCTCTCGTGTAAAGTCGCTCGCAGTGGCTTGGTTAATAAAAGAAGTCCTTTCCAGTACCTCCCTCTAGCGCGCTTGCGGAGGGCAGCGATGTGCTTCAAAGTCCTGTTTCCTATGTATTTTTCCCTATTAACTCCTTCTAATCGAATTCATCGCGATATGGTGAATTTACTTGAATGGACCAATGGTTAACTACTGGAATAAATTTATTGATAAAAGTTTATATCGAAGGCGACGGCGACGCTAATGAGAACGCCAAAAACCAATAGCAATATAGCAGTTGATAAGAAACAGCAACAAAAACAACAACAACAACAACCTCTGCACACGCGTAAAACGTTTTGGCCGTGGCCGAATGGCAAGAGCTTAGGACGAGCAATTCCCTACTTCAAAGACTCTGAAGGGAATGGGTACAAGCTTTGAGAGCGGTGATTTCTGGGATCATTTAGGTGGGCAAAAGTCAGTTATGAGTGGTCGTTGATATTTGTGGTCGTCACCATTAACCAATCATAAGTAACCGTTGTCCACCCAAACTATCTCAGAAATCGTTGCCCAAAAAGCTTTTACAAATTTCTCCTATTGTTTCTGGAGTGGGGAATTGGGAGATCCTCATCGAGTTCGAGTGTCGCTGGCTGGATTCGTTTCCCGGTGGTCTCGAGTTTGCTTTCTCGACCATGCAGTGAAAAATAACCACCTGGTTTATCTCCTGCCAGTTGGGTTTTGTAATAATATTATAAGCTAAATTACTGTTTGAAACTATTTGACTAAAATGTCTGTACAGCAGTTAAGTGTAATTCCACACATTTACATTTTTAAATCGATCATATTCTAATTAATCTTATCAGCATTTTTTTGAGCATACGCATACCGTTCTTTATGTCTTTCCCTCAAGTCCTTTCGCTGCTTACGTAACTTAGCATCTTCCTTTTCATCTTTACTGGGTTGAAACAAATATTTCATGAGATCGTATTTTTCACATTAACAAACAATGTAAGTGGAAAACTTCAGCACACTGATGTAGAGAGGAGCAAGAGGGGAGGGGTGGGGGTTCTCATCACGAGTTCACGAATAAGAATTTTGGCTTTCACGAGTCACAAAACAAATACTTACGTTTTCACGCTTCTTAAAAACAGAGGTTGTACAAAATGTCAAATGTCACGTTAGCCCCAATTTGTAAAACAGAGTGCTTCGCTTATATTTATTTTAGAAAGGAAGCACTGTGCTGCTATAAATTCCCTAAGGAAGCCAGTAGGTGGGTCTGATCGCACTGACGTGTGAATTTACATCAAAAGACTCGAAAGTGAAGTTAAGTCAAGCCACCAGATGGTAGTTAAGGCCGTTTGACCAAATTATATGATTTTTTTTTATTCGATTGATCTTCAATGTCCAAGTCGAAACATTCGAGGATTTTGGCAGTTCAGGTATCACGGAGTGCACTTCAATCACTGATTCACAGAACAGTTTTCCAGTATATCATACATCTCGATTCACGGACCCCAAAAATGGTCGATTTAGGCTTGAGAGATGAAGGTGAGTATTGACAAGGTCGTTCAATGTGATTCATGAACAAATATACATGTAACTAGGAGTGTGGTACATGTACCCATACCACGGCGATTTCCAGACCAAGTTTTAGATAATTTTTCCAACAATTTTGACTAGTTAATAAGTCTTACAAATACGTCAACAAAAACCGGAGACAAGAAAATAGCATTTCTTTTTTTTTAAATGCATTTACGTTTTCTTTTTTTTATTATCGTACTGTGGATGCGCAGGCATACGTAACGTGCTTGTATTTTCGCGGGAAAAAAAATAAAAACTAAAAAATGATGCTAAAATGAACGGGTCTGCCAAAACTCTTTTGCATAAGCTAAGTATTTCGGGTTATGGGCTCCTGATGTACCTAAGCTACTTTTCGTCAGTGTTGAAATGAAGAGCCGGTTGGACTGGGCTAAAAGTTGAGAGCAGTTTGCAGCTGATAACAGTTACGTCCGACGCTGGCTCGAGAACATCGCATCTCCCTGAACTGAGAATTTGCCTAGCTTTGGGCTGTTAACAAGAAGTTAAAAAGCGGCGGACAGGACTTCCCCTTGGGCGCTTCGTTTTCCGCATTTTGGTCGCGATCAAAGGCGAACGAGTAACTGGAAGTTGTCGACTCGCGCGTTTTCGCCTTTTCGCCTTCCCGCCTTCCCTTGCGCGCAAATTTACAACGCCAGGGAGACGTCTGGGAAGGGGGCAGTCGACCTTTCTTAAAAAGGAAAGAAAAAAAATAAATGATTTGGCCCTGAAAATTCTGCCCCTTACCTACTATTTCTTTTTCTTCGACAGCAGCAACAGTAAACGAAGCAAATCAAAGCTACTAACACTACAAAACCAGTCACAGCAAGGGCAATAAGAAGAATTTTTCCTGTCACCGTAAATTTAAAGACAGCAGACGTAAATATTAAGGTTGTAGAGACCTTAAGATTGGAGTTTTTCGGAATTTCCCGCGAACCGCGAACGTCAAGAAGTTACGTGACCAGGGCCTTGCCGTCAGGTTTGCGGTTTGAGGTTCACGTTTGTACGGCTAGACCACGCTCCAGACCCTAAAACATCACAATCCCACGTTTGAGAAGAAATACGACTTTTTAGAACTCTTTTGCTTATTGACTATCGAATTATATTTCAAAAAAAGTAATTTTGAAGACAATTTCTCAGTTAAAATAGAAGTAAGTGGATGAATGAAAACAAATAAGGCAGCCGCGAGCTAACACCCGCGAATCTTAAGTCCCAAATATAGGCAGACGGGGAACGTGAAACCGTTAATCGCATACCGCAGTTTGTCGTTTGGAGTAAAAGGACCAAACCTCGATCTTAAGGTCTCTTGTATCTCTTTTCTAACACTACTCTAAACGGAAAACGAATAGGTGCAAAGGTTTCCCTTGTTCTTGTTTCACTAGAACAAAGAAAAATTTACGGTACCATTCGCCTGCTCACACTATCGACATGGAACATCCACGTCCGCAAATTCAGTCCCCATATTGTTCTTTATTCATTACTCATATTCAACGCGCCCTCGTGTAATAATTGTTAAGTATTCATCATTGAAAATGTTTACAGACAGTATATGATTGGGGATAGCCGAACGGGTTTGAATATTGGTTGAGTGGAAAGCGCTAGTGGAAACGCGACAACGGCAAATAAAACCAGGAAGAACAAACTCGCATATCTCAAGAGCAAGAAAAAAAAAGCAAACGAAAAATGTCTTATTAAGGCCAGACAAATCATAATGCTCAATGCCCCTTGCCTCCGTAAGGTTTTCACTAGCCTGAGTATCCGGCGTTTCTGGGGGAAAAAGGGAAAGATGAAAATCTCCTCTCCCCTAGCCCCTTAAGAAGGCCTGATACTCAGGCTAGGTTCCCACATCCTCCTCTACTGCGAGCCACTTCCCCCAAACCCTCTCCCTCTTCTAAACTAAAGGTGCCACTGAGTTTCAGACTAAAATTAAAGATTACGATGATATTTCAAATCACTCTACTCACCAACACATTGTTTATATTTCCATTCTTGACCATCGCAAGCTTTATTTATAGTGTCTTTGACCAAAATCAAAGTCCATGCATGCTCTGTTCTTTTCACAACACGCACGCTAAAAAAGAACTTGTATCAGAATACATTTTGCTTTATCTCCTCAAGTCGCACACTAATGAGGTCCTATTTCCCACCTCCCATAATGCACCTTGTTTGCCCCGCCCAAAATTTTGCATTATCTTCAATTTCTCTCAGGACCACTGTAGTACCCTTGAGAAGAAATTAAGACGGAATCTATCAGAAAATTGAGTAATATCAATTTTCAGTGGACTAAAACTTAAAATAACTCAACTTCCTGGTGGATTCCGTCTTAAAAACAAAGGCTATGCAAAACGTTGGGGGGCAAACAAGGTGTATCTATTATGGGAGACGTGCAAATGGCAAATACTTGTGCTTTGTGCATCATCACAGGTTTCAAAGACCTTGAAACGGATGCAAGGAAGAAATCGGCCGTTAGGGCTTGTGCTTGGCGAGCTAATTACTGTAAGTGGGGTCAGGGGGGAGGGGGAGGGAGGCTATATAATATCCCAGCAGAAGGTGGAGGAAGCTTCACTGTTTTGGGATAGATGGAGAAATTTTTTTACTTAATAATTTTTTGACACCTAAAAAAATAATTTATCATTGACCAAGAGATCCTTTGATCAAAGGGTTACAAGAATATTATTAAAAGTTAGTTATACATATGTAAGTTATTAAAAGTTAAGACATAACAAGGGAACATTGATCAGCGCATGCAACAATATGGCAGTGTGGGTTTTTAACAGAGGTCCAGACACATGCGTGCCCATGATTGTAGTAGCCTGTCAAGCACAACCTCCGATAATAACATCAGCATTAAATAAAAAAAACAAAAATTAACACAATTAAAACAAAATTAATCTCACTGAGTATGGTGAAGATCATAGAGAAGTGATAAAGGGCCTTGTGTTTGTTTGTTTCTTTTCACCAATGTTGTTGTTGTTGTTGTTGTTATTTTTTTGTTTCCCACGTGTGACTGTCTAAATGCTAAAGGTGAAGAGAACTTACCCCAATTCTTGCATGACCCTCCACTGTACATGGCACATTTATCTATCGCAAAAAATTTAAAAACAGAAAGAATAATTTAGCAAAAACTAACAAGATTAGTGTTACATGTTTGCCTTTTGATACCACCAACAAACCACAACTAACACTTTTCCATTCCATGTACCCTATTCTCTCAGGCTGAGTTAATATGATATGACGAATTACTGATCTTGAAAGATGTTACAAGGTCTGCATAGTTCTTTATTTCATATGAGAGCCGTCAAATAATGATTGCTTAATCATTCATTCATATTTCTATTTTGCAGGTGTTCTTACACAATAACACCTTATAATTATAACTTCTTGTAAACTATTCAATACATTTGCCTGGTTCCGGTTTAAGCATTTGAACAGAGGTTTCTTTTATTCTTTCAGATACTCCTGAAACGTGCAGAGTAATTGTCTAAATTATAAATTGCAAAAAAAAATTTTTTTGTAATCTGTTTATCCACGAGGCCGCACTAAGGAGTTCTTAAGAACTCGTTTAAACATGTGCATGCATTCCTGATTGAATTGTAATTTGGTCTTGAGGAGACGGGAAAACCAAAGTACGCATAGTAAAGCCTCTCAGAAGAAGGGAGAGGACCAACAACAAACCCAACCCACAAATGACTTCGATGCCAGGATTTGAATCCGGGACACATTACTGGGAGGCAAGAGCTGTCATGCACCACTGTGCCAACCTTGGTTAGAAGGCACACTCAGTAGTATTTGTGGTATTCAATAAATTTGTGTGCTGTGGTTATTCATTTCATAAATTTGTTTATTAAAAACCACCTTACCCCATCCTGTTTAACACATTCATCACACGACCTGTTGCTAAATTTCTTGCATTTGTCCTCTAGAATCGAAGACAACAAAGCAATAGATTTATTAATTTCTTCGAAAATACATAAAAATCAATGTCTAAATCTTTGCATCCTACCGGATGCATGTCATGAATTAATCTGCACCCACAGGTAATTATTACAAATCGTCATGGACACAGCACACTTGGGTAGGAGCTTTCACACGCGCAAAGTGTGCGCAGCGGAGCACCATGGGTGAGATAATTTGGTTATTCATGCATCCGAAAAATTCTGGTAGTATTTTAGCTCTGTCCGCACCATGGGATAATCAATGTGAAATGACCTTTTTTACTCTGAGTGGTGCCTGGTGATAGACGTCCATGTTACAGTCATCTTGGACACCCAGACTTTTAGAGAGGAAAAACAACAACAAAGCCGAGTCTCTTCTTTGACTATCACTTACAACTTAGATATGTTGTAGTTAATTTTTATTTTCCCTGGTTTCAAACTCATTCACATACATTACCATACCCAAATACAAATGAAAAAAAAATTAACTGAAATAATAAAATAAACTGCAACAGATATCTGTCCGGATTTGCAAAAAGTTACCTCCAGGATTTTTTTAGCAACAGTCTCATTTGTGGCTTGTTCAGTACTTAGCCATTTTTTTTTCTTATGATGCTTTCAGTACAAAAAAACCCCTAACAAACTCCAGTAGACAAGAAGATAATGTGTTGATAATGCTGTTTCCATCTCCCCCCCCACCTATCATTTCCCATAATTCTTTCTGTGTCATAAAATACTATTAAATTTGAAATCAGCACGTGTGGTACAAGTTGTTTTCCATGGTCGGTTAATTTTCTAGATTTCAATTTGGCCGCCTGCAGCAAAGTTTTCCGGAAGACATCAATGAACCTTATGAAGGAGCAAGTCTCATGATTGGCAAAGTCTGCCATCGTCCAGTATGTTACCATCTTTTGCCTCATTTTGGCTAAACGGGTTAAACACTGATCTCGGGCTTGAGACAGAAAGGCATCATATTGCGAAGCTTTGATGTGGGTCGTGACGAGTGTCTGGCCTCAAAAAGTAGTTTGTAGGACTCACATCTGCTCGGCGAGAGCAACATTGATGCATATTTCTGACCAGTCCAGAGACTTAGTTAAAAATAGTTTTGAAGGCCAGCCTCTTGTGTCCCTTTCAAAACGGGCCGGAATCTTGAATAAATCCACTGTGCCATGTGATGATTTATGTGGAGAAAGTAAGAGTAATTGAGCAAGAGTAATTTGATGACATTTGGTCCATGTTAAGTGTGCAAACATTTTACCTGATTGGGTAAGGATATTTCTATCAGTGTGGCAAACGTGGTTAATGGTGTGATTTCCTGAAGTTGTTGACAAACAGAATTCAGGTATGTCGTGGTGCTCATCTTCTAAGAATATCTTTCACATGCATAAAAACACTTCGTGACTGTTTAGTTGAAGTGATTTTGTCTTAGACAACCGATTCTGGGCTCAAGAAAGGTGGATTCTAGGTCTGTTATAGTCAGGTATCTCGCTATGAGCCTCATGGATTGAGAGACTGTATTTCATAATTTCTGTGCTTTTAAATGTTGTTCATGTCATTACAATTCTCTCGCTATTGCCAAGGACTTTCTGCGTGTAGCCAGCGATTAATTTGTCCTTTTCCAGCCCTAACTAGCGACTTTCAACTGCTTTTTAATCAACTCAAGGGTCAAATTGTTAAAATGCACTTGAATTTTCTGTAGACAGGCCATCTGATATTACGCGATGGTGCGCTTTTGCACAATTGACCTCATTGATCGCACAATTTGAGGAAAATCGCATAATTCGTAAAACAATGCTAAATTCAAGTAAGTAAAAAATAAATTCTAACTTTAATCAAACATTTTCCCAATCTTAATGTTATTTAAGGTGATTTACCACTAAAGAAAGCCTTGCAAGACATCTGAAACTTTTGATCGCGGTATCTGGACAGCCATTTTGATTTCAGAGACAATCAGTGTGGTCAGCGGCGTAGCGACGTCATGTAATATTCTGCAAGTGTCCTTTTTCTTTCTATTTGTTTTCTTTTCCGGGTCAAGAAAATTGGACAAATTTAACTATTTTGTTTTAAAATAGATGTTTCATTATTCTTTTACATTCAAATTGCCTGTTAAACAACATTAAAGTGATTTTTCCTTTGAGACCTGAAAAAATTGCGTAATCTATCACATAATAGTCCTATCTTATCGCACAATCTACCCTGAAAATGTCGCACAATTTCTGATTTTTTTATCGCACCCTATCAGATGGGCTGTGTAGAGAGTGTACCTTTTTATAAATTCAGACAGATATACATAACATGTTGTACTTAATGGAAGTCAACGATTCACTGTAGGGTGATTTCCTCAAAAAGTTGTTAAAGTGTGGATCACAGACAATGGCCAGAAATCAAAAACCATACTCTTGAATACATGTACATGTATGGCTGGGTGTCTTAACTTGAGTTACCTATATACCATGGTCATCCAATGGGAATTACATGTTGTAGGTAGGCAAGTTATTTAACAATTATTCAACAATATTAACTGAGCCTGAGGTGAATAATTGTTTTAGTATATGCACACGAAGTGATCTCAACAGAAAAAAAAAGGAAACCATTAAAAAACGATTAGTTTGATTCACTGGTGAATTCATGCGTGAACACGAAGCCGTAAACAGTGGATGTGCAAAAGTTAGATCTTTAGGGTATCTTCAAACATGGCAAATGATAGTTTTAATCTTTTTGCATCGAGTTTTGTAAGCTTTAGCATCAACGGTTTAAAAGAAAACGCCGAAAATTTAAATTACTACCCAATTCTGAGAAGAAAAGTAGAGCTTTATTTGTTTCTGTCAACTCACCGTGAATGAGAAAGTTTTCTTTGTCGCTTCTTGCAAATGCTGTCAACAGCGGCTACGATCAAGGTGAGCGTTGTTTATCTCCAAAGTTCTTTGCCTTGTTAACTTGCTGGCACGTACAATTTTCGAAAATATTTGCCTTCCTCTTTTCTCCATAAATTAACTCCTATTTATAGACAAAATTGGTCTTGCGAGAAAATCCCGAAATCACAAAACAGTGACAAAGCGACCTCTTTTTCCTCTGTAGTGGTAAACATAGCTTCGAGCGTACAAACAGTCAGCTACAGTAAACCACTTCACAATAAATCACGCTGTTTAAACACCATGAAGTCTTTTCTTGCCTTCAAAGTCATCAGCACTTGGATATTCGTGTATTTTCAAAAAGGCTTTACTATGAAACTTTGGCAAAACACCCAGTTCACGACAGCGATTTTGTTCTGCTTTATATTCACCGCCTAGAGCAGTGAATATAACGTCATAGTCCGAGATAGCTAACCAATCAGATTGCTTGAATTTCCAAGATCTCTGAGTGTGTATATACTAAATATAATATTAGCCTCTCCAGTTCTTTCATGTCCCGACCACCAATTTGGATGCACACCAAATCAGTGAAACCATCCCACTAAGAGAAGCCCTGCCCTGTATGAAATCAAAGTGATGATGAAAGTTTCCCAACATAACATTGTTTACATAATGTTAAAAGTGAACACTCTAGCAAAGTGTTTATCAATAAAAATCAATATATCATCTCTTGTATATTAGATGAAGTTTTCCACAAAGCCCTGTAGAGTAATTCAACCATACAGTTATCCTCGTACAGTGCTTAATACACATAAGCTTAGTCATAATAAAAAGCAGCAAACATTTTTAATATCACTTGGACAAAGGTTCAAAGGTCTGGAATCGGGTATGGTTTTCGAGGGAACTACGGATGTGTGTGAACTTATTTATCGTTTCAATTCCAAATGAGTAAGAGAGAAAGAGAAATATGCGAATTCGACTAATCGGAAGTCGCTCGCGGATAGCTCGAAAATTCCTGCGTTTGTACCACTGGAACACCAGATTAGGATGCGTTCTGACGAAAGCGACCTGTGTGGAATTCCAAGGTCGTTTTGCTGCACGATTAACCCTTTGCAGTGACACATGTCAACCGGAAGTGAGTTCTTTTCCCTTATAGAGACGATTGGCCCACAAAATTGGGTAATATCACTGGCAGGAATATAATATAATGTGCGTCGCTCAGAAACGTTTTTCATTGGTTAAGCTCCCTTTTCAAGTGATACAAATCTGTATTGCTGAAGAGCAAGAGAGACACTCGAACAGAAAAAAACAAACAAACAAAGATACCATTTAAAATGATGTCAGTCCTTTTTTGTCTTCTTCGAGTGCATCTCTTGCTCTCCAACTTGAACTCAGTGTACCACGTGAATGATTATATGTCTGATGACTAGCTGCAAAGGGCCTATTTCGCACTTGTAGTCAAATGTCGCTAATAACTGCAGCCTCCTTACAATCAGAGAGGTGAATGAAAAATATAGAGTGCAACACACACATAACTCGCACCTCATATTTTCTATTCCTTTGCCATGCATAATATAAAATAAAAGTTAAGCTCTTTGTGAAAACGTTTTTATTGAGCATGTCTTGTACACCTGTCATAGCGTGTACCCCGCCGGCAGAGGTTTCTCTTTTGAGTGGCTTTTAACGTTTAACGAAGTCGTTCGCGACTCTTCTTAGCGGCTTAGTCAGGTTTGTTTACGCACAACTACTTGAGTGATAAGAGACACAAACGACTTCGTGAACGTTAAAAACGGGATGTACCGTATTTATGCGATTAACCACCCTGGGCGCTTATTAAATTTTTGGACCTTGAGAGTGGGCGTTTATTAAATTTTCACCATTTTCAGCAAATGAAGTACGTTTATTTTGCAACAAAACAATAAATAACAAAGCAAGGTTTCTGTAAAATACTCTGAAGAAAACTCCGTCCTCAGGGAAGTCTCTTATTAGAATCTATTCACTCAAGTGGGTGGGGTGGGGGTGAGCGCTTATTTTAGTTTGATTGGGAAGAGGAAGGGGTGGGCGGTTATTCGAGGCTGGGCGCTTATTAACTTTTTCTGCCTTTAGGATGGGCGCTTATTCGAGGTGGGCGCTAATTCCAGGTTGCGCGCTTATTCGAATAAATACGGTAAGAGAGCAACCTCCCCGCTCGCAGGGTACATCGAACCTCCAAGGGCCTGTTTACATGGAGGTGGGGGACCCCAGGTAAGTGAGGTAACATGTGGTTCTCACCCCACGTAACATGTAAACGAGATCACATTAAAAATGACAGATTATATGCACAGGCGGGCCACCCCACCTAAAGCGGGTTACCTCACCTACCTGGGGTCCCCGACCTCCATGTAAACAGGCCCTAACAAGAAAGAATGAGCTAGCTTATTTTCTCTTCCGTCTAATGAACAAGAGTGGACGTTAAGGGTTAATTAACTGTGCACTTTTTAAACTTATCGTAAACTGGAATGTACAATTCAATAATATAACCAGACGTTTTGTCATAATAAAAATCTTTTGTGCACAATTAAGCGGTTAGGAACGTTGTTTTGACTTACAATTGCAAAAAAATCGTTATAACTTAGTTTCTATCAATATTGCACATTTTGATACCCGCAAAAGACCTCTCCACATTACCATCCAGTTAGCACACTAATGAAACAACAAAAGAGGACGCTTTGGGACAAATCACTTTATTTTGTCACTCCAAGCTTTGAGCTGGTAACATTGAATGTTTGAATTGCGAACGGTCTGCACTGATTTTGATACATTATTATTTCAAAAGTAGGTTGAGTTTGATCGTCCGGGTGAACGTAGTCCTGAATAGGACTGTTGTTGTTGACAGTGACTGACGTTTCGACAACCTGAGCGGTAGTCATCTTCAGAGTCAAAGTGGGTTGTTTCACGTCAGTTGATGGTATTATACTCTGGTTATTGATAGATGACTACCGCACAGGTTGTTGAAACGTTAGTCACTGCCAACAACAACAGTCCTGTTCAGGACTACGTTCACCCGGACGATCAAACTCAACCTACCTTTGAAATGACTCCTGGGTTCAAACCTTTCACAGTTACACATTGTTATGCCAAATTGAAACATATTTAGTATTCAACACTCAAAAGATGAGGATTGCAATAAGCCATTTCTGAGTTGCTCCGAGTCTCTGTCACAAATTAAAGCCAGGCTAAGTGCGAAGCTATTGATATCATGAAAAGTATTTATGTTTGATTCTCATGCAAATAAAACTCACGATTACACAAGAAGGGTTTTGCACTTTGCCTCGTTTTGAAAATGAGACTTTGGAACTCAGAAATGGCCGATTTACATTTTTTTTGGAAGATTCGATCTCAAAACCCCCTTTCGAGTTAACGTAACATGAGACAACTGTCCCTTAGCTCTCGATGTAAAAAGGAAACGAGGATTTAAATTATGATATAAGGTGTTATATAATTCGTTCTATTTTGTGAAAGAGCCATTTTTGTGGTGGTGATCGAATAAAGGTGTTTGTTTTCCAGTCCCAGTGCACTTAAACATTCATTCATTTTTGACAATATTTAGAATCCTCTTTTGACCAAGTGCACTTCTGTCCGTCTTCTCTCGCGTCTGCTAGTAAATACCCCAATATGCACGCCGGTCTGCAGTCGACTGAGCCCGAGAAGAAAAACTCCCTTTTGAAACACCGCCATAACGTCTTGCGGTGGCACTTTGAATCCGAGAAGCAGCACTTCTAGTCATTGGAATTTTCACACCGCTACGCAATCCATGACTTTTACCTAAGGAAAATGTAAAGAATTTCGAATATAAGAAAGCATCTTTAAACTCCACTAGCGACTAGGTTGATTAAGGCGTGAAGAACCAATAGAATTAGAATTCAAGGTGCTTTGTACCTGTACCCCAGCCCCCCCCACCTCCCCACCCCCACTTGGCAATCGTCCAGTTAGACGTGCCTTTCACATCCTCGCACGGCCGAATTCCCTCTTCCCTTTATTTCTCTTCCATGGCATTGTTGAGCCAATAGTCTACTGCTGTTCAACCGTGAGTAACTTTTTGGCCTGCGGGAAGGTCAAATTCCACGGTTTGTAAAACATGAAAAACCAGAAGGAAATCTAGGTTTGGCCAAGAGAAAATTATGGCAGAGAGGGAATCTTAAGGCGTTGGCCTGGATATGTGAATTTCACTTAAGTTATTTTTAGAGGTTGTAATTAAACGGAATTATAATTCTTGGGACGTCCACACATTTAAATCGACTGTTTGAAACGCTATCAATTCGATGCGTTAGTGCCTTAAAGCAAATAGTGCAGAATTTTGTAATGGCGACACACCAAGAGAGCATAATGTCCCATCATTTTTTCTTGGCAAGACTGAATAAAAGTTTGCAGACCGAAACCAATTCCCGATAAATTTCAAGCGTTCAATTGGTCAAAAAATAACTTTGGTGAAATTCACATATCCCAAGGGCTATAGATTGCGTGATTCCTAGCTCTCTGACATTTAATTCTCTCTAGGTCTGGCATATCTGTACGTACTGACCTGAGGAACTGGAACGGTTCTCATCGCAACAACAACAGCAGCAACAAAAAATGTTACGAAGGCACTTTCCACATCCTCTGCATTTTTTTCCTTTGCAGCAGCAACAGCAACAGCAGCAAACCAGAAGTACAAGAACGACAAAAACAGTTACGGGAACAGCAATAAGGAGAGACTTGCCATTAACTGTAAAATAATTAGACACAAAATCTCTTGATATATAAGAAAAGTGAAGCAGAACTATCTCTTTCTTTTATCTTTGTTCCAAAGTTGCTGGCAGAACTGGAACGGGGTTCATTAACTTTTGAAATTCCCGTTAACGGACCATTTCCTAGTTCCTCCGGGCCTCTGTTTCAAAACGAGGGTAGGTTCTCAGCCTTTGGTATGGAAATGATTTTTCATTCTTATGCACATAAACTCATTTTCACAAGAAAGGTTGTGCACCTGGCCTCATTTTGAGAGTGAGAGTTTTTGGAACTCGGAAGTGGCCTATTTCATCAAGCGTTGATTTTCTATAATAAGAAAGCTCTCCGTTTGAATATCGCGAGTGTCCTCGAGTCATATCAGTCTACCCTTCGCTTCGCACTCTTTTCAAATGGAAAGCTTTCTGCGCCCTGCCCTTTATCTCACCAGTTTTCTTTTGGAACTGTATAAGAAGACCACATTTGAGTGATATCTTTGGAAAAAAAAAGATAAAACCTACCAAAACATTGCTTGAAGTACCAATCTTGGTTCTTGCATTTGTTATTTAAAGTGTCGTTCACAAGGGAAAATGTCACACAAGAGTTTTCACTGCCACAAAAGGTACACTTGAATCAAAGGAGAAAAGAAGGAAACATGACGTATTGCGAATACCGGAAGTAAAAGCATCCGTGCCTACACCTGCTAATGTATTCTATGCAAGAGAGAATGACATGCTCTCTTGTTCTATGCTATTCGCCAATTTGAGGTTGCGCGGGAGACCGAGCCGTGATGGTTGTCAATGTGCATTGTGGGACTGTTTTGGGCACGCATTTTCAACATGGCGGCAAATTCGTCCCCCAAAACAGTCCCACAATGCACTTTGACAACCATCTCGCCGGTCCCGTGCGCAACCTCAAAGTGGCGAATACACAGTTAGCGAATAGTCCGTGGAAAGAGTGACGTGTCTTGATATCAGTAAACTTGCTCAGTTTTTTTTTAGTAAAAGTGATGCCTCATGCAGAGTCAGAAAGGAAGGAAGATAGAACATGTGAGCGGTGAGCGCAACGTCGCAAAATTCAATTCCTGATGAGGTAAAGAGGAAGCCGTTTTAATATTTTTAATAATAACATTTTCAAAACTTGCAACTTTGCTGCTTTTAAATATGACGCTCCCGAAGAAGAAACTGAATTTTAACTGAAGACCCGGCCAGGGGGTACTAGTTCTAAACTACAGGAATGTGAAAGGGGTACCACTTTCCAATAGAAGGCGTGGGAAAGGCCAGAATACCTTCTCTGCCACAAAGGGTAACGTAAGCAAAGGCGTTGGACCTCGGGGCTGGTTGTTGAGTGCCCCTACCCCGACCTCGTTCCCAGGTTCTCTCTCCTACCGGTAGGAGAGAGCCCTGCGGGAAAGAGGTTGCCCCTCCCCCGGGCTGAAGACTCACTAAAGTGATAACAATAGCCATTTATGCAGCGTAGTATTTCTTAACTGTCGGACCTGCTAGTGCAGATACACTGCAAATATATATTTTAATATTATCTCACCCCATCCTGAACACAATCGTCACATGATTTCTTGCTTTTTAAGTTGCACTTGTCATCTAGAAGAAAAATCAACGAGAAAATTTTGATTTTATGCCAGACTGGCGGAGCTATCTCTTATCTTTCTTTTGAGTCACAGTAGATCGAGGGCACACGAAGGGGAGAGCGGTAAAACTGAAGCCCCAGCGAAGCTCTCCGCCCCAAGATCTCTTCATTTTTTTAGCATAAATTTCGCGTGGCTCTGATGAAGGAAAGACGACCGCTCGTGATCTAATCTTATTGCGGCGGTTGTCCAAAAATATATTCTGCGATGCCTAAAATTGCACGCATCAAAGGATTATCTAAATCAAAGCGTACATTCACACGAGTATTGTTGGGTTATTAAAGAGATAGACAGGTACGATTGATATCGGCAAATAGGAAACATGCACAGTCTGCAGAATGAACGAGAATTTCAAATACTAAGGCGCACTTGAGCACGCACGTACAGCCTGGTGTGACGAGCCATTCCGAGGATACGATTATTTTGCCTGTGTATTCACGAACAATTTTCTAAGCCTTTAACATACAACTGATTCCAAGTGCTCCGCTTTGCAAATGCGACGATTCTCATTCAAAATAAACATCAGTAGAAGCAAAAATTAATTGATATATATTTTATGATAAACTGTTCAGATGAATTTCTATTAAAGGATACCTTAGCCATTTATATTTTCAGTAGCTCTAAAGAAACAAGATTAAGCAACGAAATGAAGAGACAGCGAGGTCGCCATGGGTGATAACATATAATTCGCCCAACAGGTTCCTCGCACTCCACGCCCGCCTGCGTTTTCCTTCGCTAGTTTAAAACGCGAAAACAACAACAACAACAAAACTCCTGTTCTGCAGGCTATAATATAGTTAGGAAGGATCCTAACACCAGAGAAAGGCGTTATTATTTTTACTAGTTTTACCATAATTATTTTTTGTAGAAGTTGAATTAACTAATTATATAAACTGTAACAATGCCATGAAAACAAAGCAATAGCAAAAAAAGGAAAAAACAATGAAATTTAGATCTTGTTGCACACCAATGAAGTAGTTCTGCAATTTACTAAAAAAAAGTCCATGTTGCTAGCGGTTGTACTATTTATTTATCAAAATTGATTATAAAAGCTTGTCACAGAACAAAAAGGCCCACTCACCAGCGTAACCTTGAAGTTGCCATGACTGAAGGAAAAACAGTTCTGTTATGAGAACAAAGCTTGGAAAATTGCTTGAACGAAACATTATACAGCGTGCTGTCAGCAAAATACCGTGCTGTAGTATTTTGACCAATAAATTGATTTGCGTCAACCAACAGCTAGACGGTTCGTTTAACTACCTTATACCCAAGGGTACTTTGTTGTCATGGCAATCAATTCCGCCCAGTTTCCGAGAAACAGCCGCTTGACCACGTGACCTCGCGTGATTATTGAATTCGAAGAAACTCAAGATGTTTTGTCTACCGAGGAATCGGCATGTTAGGACTTCGAAGCTTTGCTGGCTTAAATTCTACGAACAAGTATTAATGGAATTCACACACAATTAAAGGTAATGTCGGTAAAAGAGTTATTTACATGGTATGCAATTGTATAGCCGGCGCGACCGCAAGAATCGGCCAAGTTTTGAGATCTGTGAAATATGGAAATCGCCGTTGTTGGCTTTTGGTTTTCCCGAACTCGGTGTTGTATATTAGCGTGGTTTATAGCAGCTGCGTGTATATTGTGGGTCGACAGACCCTGCAGGAAAATCATTTAACGGTTGTAAATCTGCTGCCTTTTTAATTGTTTGCATCTCAATATTAGTCTGATATATTTTGAAGAAGGTCTGATAAACTGGAAACTAACATGTCAGCTGCTTTGTGACTGAGCAGCCCCGCCGGTATTTTAAATTTTTTCCGCGTTTGTTACTGTTTATCCTCCGTCTTCCTTGTCCTTCCGAAACTGAAACTCCATAAGCCTCAAGATGATCTTAGACGCCAAAGTTTACTCTACATTAAAGCCGATACTTGACGAGTGCAGTGTCCTTCGTTGCACGCGGAAACGGACGTCTCCACAAAGCTATCGCTACTGCCTCGAACCGCTGTTTTTTAATAAGTTCTGGTAGCCACAGCTGTGTGAAAAAATCAAATCTTGTGATGCAATTTACAACATTTCTTTCTTAAAAGATGTAGACAATGAATCAACCAAGACTCTGCAGAGATAAGCTGTTATTATTTGTTTAGAATTTATTCAAAATGAATATCCTGAGAGCGCGGTTGAACACGGTAAGCGGTGTTGCATTTTTCTGCGTGAAACAAAAGAAATAGATGAAATCGGCTGTAAGCAGGCGACGCCCGCAGGATTCTTCTCCTTCGTTGGTTTGGTGACTCTCTCTCTCTCTCTCTCTCTGCCGACTTTATTTAATATAATCAGCGGCAGCTTTTTCACTTAAGTACAAATATATAGAATTTAAACTCTGTCGTCTTATCATCACAGTCTGCGATTAGTAGGAACTGTTCCTAGGGTGCAAAATAGTGTAAGATTGCCAGTTATATTTCTATAATTCCCACTACTTCCGTTCCAGGCGCCGAGGAAAATGAGGAAAGACAATAAACAAAGTTTATCTGTAGCCAGGAATAACAGTGTCACTATGGCAGTATGCATGACATTTGAACAGAGGATGAAACCGAGCCAAAACATTCCAAGTTTAGAGATATTAATTTTGCAGGGAAATTTGAACATGGTTTAATTTAAAATCAAAATGTAGCAAAAATTTCAGCCCTGTTTAAATCCTTGAAAAAAAGCAAAGAAAAGAAGGGAGAAAAAATGAAAATTACATAAAACAGACACCGGCCGGCGCGGTGTTTCAGTCTGTAAACAGATTACATTACAGTTTTCTGAGAAATAGTGAATGGACCATTTGTCGTCGCTGACCCTGGATCGATTTTTCTCGGAACAGCTTCCGGTTTACCAGGAATTGTTGTCTTCTGAGAAGGAATCAAAGCGAGATTTTTCAGTGAAAACAGTTGATAAATATTTAATAAAAATCCAGCGGATATTAGGGTTGGTTACATATTATGCCGGCATAATTTCGGGCAAAATGCTATAGTTCGACCATGGAGCATAATATGGGCATTTTTTCACCATATAGAGAATAATAGTGATGATAAAAATTCAATATTTCCATAACTGTATTGAGATCTTTTTCGCTTTCAAGTGCTTTTTAGTGACGATCCAATATATTCAAAGGCTTGGTTGCTGCTTTCAAGGCATGCTTCAAAGTCTAAAGGTTGTCTTTCCTTCATGCATGTCTGCCAGTTCAGTTAGGATCAACCTCTTTTGTCCTGACTGTTGTCTTTCAAAGTTATGAAGTGTTATTTTGGCTGCAGGGATGGAAAAGGGCATCAAATATGACCAAGACCAGTCAAGCATAACTCTACTTCTCGAGCTTGATCTTAGGTCTCTTAGGCATAATGCTGTTGCTTTAAAGGTGACCTTCAAAAGATTAATGCTCACATTTTCGAGCATAACCCTAGCTGATATGGTGAATGTAAAATTATTGGAGTGAAATGCTGAAAAGCCACCTTTATTTGGTATTTCCCCGGGCTATGTCTATTGTAGCCTGCTTGGCTGCTGGGCTAGACATTAATGGAATAAAAGAGAAATTAAGGCGCGCGAAGAGACATTCCCTTAGTACCCCTCACGGGAATCGCATTGTCGCGCGCATTTATTCAGTTATTTGTCAGTACTTTTTTTGGTTATTTTTTAAAGTCAAAGTTAGGACCTTTCGTTGTTGGTAGTGTACATTTCTGCAGTATATGACTATCTGATCTTCTAGTTAAGAGTGATTTTACCTGACCCGTGAAATAGCTAGGTAGTAGAATACTAAGCACTATTATGCACTAATTCCATTGACTTCTCTTGTTTACCTCTTGCTATTTTTCACTGTTTTTGGTGCGAAAAAATTCCAGTACCACTGTTGACGAAGAATTTAATTTTCACGGAAATTTCCGCACAAATGGTAAGCGCACCCTAGCTGGCTTTGCCCGTTGGAATGATAAGCAAGGCATTGCTTTATGAGGGGGACATGGGGGTTTACGGTATTGCGTTATTAGGCTTTTTTTCATGCGGTATTTCGGTAATTTTAATTTCAATTTGCGGTATTGTGGTATCATCTAGCTCTGCGGTATGCGGTTTTTCATCATTTTGGCTGACGGTATTCGGTGAAATAAGATTGTTCAGGGTATTACGGTACCGTTATTTGCGCTTTCCTTTAGATACAATACGCAAAACCAAAACAAAGTAGGACATAAACGTCAATAAAAGTTAATATTTAAAAGTCTTAAGACATAACGGCAAATGATTACACCATTTGTGGGTCATTTTGTGACAGTTAATGGTCAATAAGATACAATGTGATTGTTGTTGCATCCAATGATAATGAGTGGTCTCAAGTTACCTTACCAGGCTTTTCAATCTGTGTACCTGTGCCAGTAATTCGAGGTCTGACACGTTTTCTCACAATGGCTGAGGTAGCTGAGGTTGAAGACGGCGTGGTCATCATTGACTATGTGGCAATTTTTTATGAACGAGAGGGCTAAGGAGGCGAACATTATCGCAACAAGAATAAGTTTAGATTTCGGGTTTTCAGGATTAAAAAACGCCTTGTAAAGTTAAAAAAGAGAATTTGGTAGGTTTGCCTCTTACCGGCACGGCGTGTGAGACAGTCGAGATAGTTGAGCCCTGAGAGACTGAGGTGGTAGACTAGCCTCACTTATACTAGACGTGCGTGGAAAGGGCTTTGGTTGGTTTGTTTTTCGCGCTTTCAAGAGTTATTTTTATTGGAGTTAATTAGCTGTTGGGTCGACCTACCAAAAGGTTGAACGAATGTAGTTTACTTTCCAGTGAAAATTTGCGAACTACCAAAATATTAAAAAAAAAACATGGACATCTGGTGCATAAATGCCTGGGATAATTAAACGCGCTAGCTGGAAGCAACCATAAGTATGCGGAACCGATTATAAATGTGGTTTAATCATGGGGCATCGGTATTTAGACGATTTTCGACGCAGTATTTCGCTATTGGCCATTTTTTCTTACGGTTTTGCGGTATTGGGTACCCCGAATGTCGCCCTCCTTTATACCCCGTGGCCATCGAGAATGTGTGATTCAGTATATTTTCACCTTGGGTAACAGCCTCAGCGAATAAATCAGTTTTCCCCTGTCACCTAAACATTTTTAGAAGTAAGAGCTTTAAATCATGCTCTGTCACCATCGGTGATGAAGTGAGCAATTAGCAGAGTGATCAGTTCTAGATGGAGTGCAAGGGAACCATACTATTTTTTGCGTGTTTAAAGTTCTCATTGTGAGCTTTGTTCTGTCCCCAGATGTTTTAATGCATTCTTGTGAGCGAACGCCGTGAAGGAGTGAGTAACAATATTTGAAATAATTTTTATATGCAATATGTCTCTGAGAGGGCTGTTCAAACCGCACCTTTTTCTAGGTAGGCCCTTGGTTTTGATTCCCCTCTAACGGTAACAAAAAAATTAAAGGTCTAACATGCAGTGTACAGCTATTTCGAGAAAGGTTGTCAGAAAAAGTGCACTCGACAATCCGGAAAAGTATTGTGGGTGGTTTTAAGTTCACTGCATGTTCTTCAAAGATTAGTAACTTGAAAGAATTTCATGAGAGGGACTTATGTTCGCGATTGCTGAAGGAAAGTAACAAAAGTAGGTCCGAAAGCTACAGTGTCAGTAACGGTGTATTGATCATATCCCCTATTACCTTTCGGGATTGCGGAATGCACATTTTTTCCGACCTTTCTCAAGAAAACTGTATGATGATGAATTTGTAAGCCTCTCAAACACTCAGCAACGGCGCCTTAAATCTCTTGACATGGGCAAGGTGAAAATTTGTCGTCCAGATACTTCAGTTAACAACTGGGGTATTACATCGAGCGCGAAACCTTATTTGTTTGAAACGTCACAATCTCATCTGAAAGTAGTATAGGGTAGAATCGTGTGGACAGTGGTAAAAGAAATACGCATGTATGCGCTTACAGACGATCTGGTGTGAACATGGCCTTGATTCAAAGTATCAAAAAAATCAAAAGTATTTTGAATTGTAGTGGACAAAGATGATGACGGATTTAATCTCATTCAGCCATCGCTGATCCAGCAGTTGAAGACCATCCTAGATCAGTACCCTGACGATGGACAGATATTAAAGGTAAGAAATGTGAAGACTTAAGGAAACTTTAATGGCTGACTATAAAGAGGTATAATTCCTTTTCGCCTTTACCGTCTCCTGACTGAGTACCTTCAGACGTTGGGAACATCTAACAAGGACAACAAGAAAAGATAAGATAGGCATAGGTTAAGAATAACGTAATGAGATATTAACAGTGAGTTGATATGGGACTAGACACACTTCCCTCCACGGGGACTTATTATACACGACACCAGTCGCCCCGAGCTCGGTGCCATTTTAGAATTGGACCAGTTGTGATCTTAACGGCTTCGGGCCGCCATTTAGTAGGTTTACGTAAGAGTTCTACCGAGCCCGCTGGCTTCGCGTTGCTAGCTGGAGATGCTTCAGTGGTTTCAGGGTTTAGAGAAATTCATGTTCCACGAACCTGGCATGTTTATTCAGCGACTGGATTCGATTTTCGCGAAAAAAATCGTGCTGGTTTGGGGTCGATCGGAGACGCGACGCTGCGGTCAGTCTCCTACCTTGCCACTATACTATGTATACTATTTTTCTCTAAACTTTTTTTTTAAGGAAAACAACAAATCGCCACATGGTAAGTTTCATCGGTTTTTATTTCCATTTTCTAGCAAATTTCCAGAGCTAAACTTTGCCCTATATTTTCTCTATATTTACTCATGTTTTGAAACCCGTGCGTGACACAAACAGTGAGCCTGCGTTACCGGTGGTGAGACGAGATAAGATTTAATCAATCGGCAAAAAATCAAGATGAAATTATCCGTGATATCTTGTAAGACTGAGATGCAATAAGTTTAAGTTCATACTTTGTGCATATCCGGGGAAGTGTGTGTGAGTGATAGATTACTTTAAGCTGCTTCTGTTTCAATGTGCATGTGTGTATTAGGAGCTCATCCAAAATGCCGAGGATGCAGGAGCAACTCAAGTGAAATTTCTCCATGACCTACACAGCTATGGAACAGAGAAACTTCACAGCGAAGGACTTGGCCAGTTCCAGGTAATCGTGAATGTTGTCGTAAACTCACAGAAGGAATGAGTTTTTTTGTCTTTTCGTCTCACTCCTTCTGTAAGAATTCTTTTTATCAGGGGGTTCTGTTTAATCCCCTCCCCCGTTAGTTTTCTGACAGTCTGTCCCTTACCGAAGAACTTAACCCCAAGAACAAAGTCACAGCTCAGTACGTATCGTCTACAAAATTTTGGGCAAATAAAATTTATATTACTATATCTAGTTACACGACTATGTTGCTGACTGTTGAGTCTTAAGGAGTCTTCAATATATAAGGGAACTTCACCCTTGATGCGTTTATATGCCGCACAACATTTAGCTATTTTCACTTCTTCATAAAAAGGAAGCCACTGTAGAGTATTAAAAAGCTTAACACTAGACGCCTGGTTATTAGCGTCGGAAATTACCCTTGCTGCTCTCTTTTGTAGCTTAAAAACACGGCTTAAATTCTCCTTATCACAACTAGGATATAACTTATCACAACTAGGATATAAACCTTAAAAAACTGACAGCCATACTATTTTTTACCCTTTCCACCTGGTGCAGTCGACTTGTATTAAGCGGTCACCCTCTGTTAAGCGGTCCCGAAAATGATTTTTAGGTTTTACAGTAATTAAGGGTGTTATAGTAATTAAGACCGCTTAAACGTGGTCACATCTATTATTTATGAGCGGTCGCGGTCACCTTTTCTGAGGTCCCAACAAGTTATATAACTTTTATTGTCCAGTCACCTCTATCAAACGGTCACTTTGAGAAGACATACCGCACCAGTGCAACAAATACACTGTGTATGCCGTTTAGTGATCTTTTACTTTCTTCCTTTTGGCACACGAAGAGGCGGAAACTGGTTGACTGGTAAATTTGTTGTGGGATAGATATTCCGCTCTTCCACTACCTTCATTTTCTTGACAATTTCTCAGGTTTGTCAAACCTGTGTTAAACGGTCAACTTGTATTAAGGGGTCAGGAAACGCCTCATGTCAAAAAGTGGGCTCGGCGCAGTGGTTTTCTACGCACGGTGTTCTACATCTATAACATTAATTTAGAACGGTTTCTCATTACATAGATACTTTCTCATTACATAGATCACTTTAATTAATGTCCACTAGGGCCCAGCACTCTACGCTTACAACAATGCCGAGTTCACCAAGGAGGACTGGAAAGGCATCAGGATGCTCTGCTGACAGTATAAAAGTCAAAGATCCGATGAAAGTTGGTCGGTTTGGCCTCGGTTTCAAATCGGTGTTTCACGTCACAGGTGAGATAACTATTTTTTATTTTTTCCAAGCTTGCGAGCGGGCGGAATCCTCCAAATCCTGCAATCTGATTAGTTCCGAGAGCGGGCGCTATTTTACGATCTTGCCCGCTAACCCGGGGGGAATCGTTGGCAGCTTCATTCACAAGTTTGTTTGTTGTTTGTATGAGCAAAAACCGTCATTTTCAAACCATTTTTCTTTTAAAACTTGCGCTATTATTAGCATTAGCTGGGGAAAAGTGAATTTTATTATTCAGACAAAAAGTCTGAAGGGAGAATCAAGCAAGTCAGCCAGGAAAACCACTAAAGTACAGCAAAACAGGTGGCTCGTGATGTCGCTTCACTAAGCTTTATAACCGCGCTGTAAGTACTGCAATCTTGCTTTTATGCACCGTTTATTGGACATCTTTGCTCTGTTTGTAGTTTTGTTTTCCATTTTTGCTGTTGGAATCTTGATTCTCCCGTTTTTCATGGAATTTTGTCTCGCTAGTTTTCTACTTATCGGAAAAGGTTGTTGTCAATAATTGCATTTAGCTTCAGTCTTGAATAAACAACACGAGTCACTTTTCCAGCACTGAGCCGGTTATCGCCGTTTTCATTTCTTTCCTTTTAACTCGTTGCTCACATCGCCTTCTTTTATTCGAATTGAGTTCAAAACCTTAAAATTGGAATGCGTAATTAATAAGTATATTATATATACCTTAAATTTAAGGTATATATTAGCTCTTTTCATCCCGCTCGATTGAACTAATCTTAAAGCAATTTGAATTCAGCCGAAGAAAATCCTTGCTGTATTTTTTTCCTGGGTCTTTAAATATCAAGCTAGTCAATTCTTTGATCCTTGTTTGACACTCAGATTATGAATCGTCTAGCAAGATACAGAAACCTTTCTTTATTCTAAAAGAGAGCAGTAAGTGCCATAATATAAATTACCGAGCGAAAAATCATGTTGTAATGTTTTTTTTTTGGTTTGCAATCAATCGCGCGCTTCATCAACACGAACGCGTCCGACTTCAACACACATAGGTTGGAGAGTGAAGGAGAATTTTCCTGAAACTTGTAAATCTCAGTAGGAAAAAAATAAAAATGTTATTCATCGGCCTAGGTAGGACCGTATTAGGAGAAACTGTGCCCTCGGTCTGAGTACGGCCTCGGGCGGTACTCAAGACCTTGGAATACGGACCTCCCAGCCGGTGAATAATATATATATATTCATATTTCAACTGTTGATGTTGTAATTAATAACAGCAAGAGTTGAGTGAATTATTCAAGATATTTACTTATTTTGATCACTTTATTTAGTTAAGCTCGTGTATATATTATTCAAAATCGGTATTAACGAGGAGGTACATTTCCCTCATCGCCCCGCAAAGGTAGAAAAGACTCCCTAAGTTTTATAACACATTTGTTTTTGAAGAAAGCCACCTGAGGCTTGACATTCTGAGGCAATGAAAATGAAAGTATTTACTTATACTTATCTCACTGGGAAAAGAAACGCTCGCAATCGCGAGTTTTTTGTGTTTAATGTATTCAGAAATCCACAAACCGAAAAGTTAAATGCAAACATTTTGGTTTAAGTTCACAACGGTCTGAATATGGACAAATTTCCTTGGAGTTAAAATATTTTTTTTTGTGTACAAAAAAGTGCGCCTTTATGCGCTTAGGTTTTCAACACCCTCCTGTAATGACCTGACATCTTTATTTGTTGCATCTTTAATTCAAACCTGGACGCTGAGAGGAGGTAATCAAATGGTATATTCGTGAAATTAAGGAATGATTTTACTTGCCTTTTGCTTAAATTTTAATAACATCCCTTGCCTACGGGCGCAAAATTATTCACGAAATTCACTCGTCACTATTTGATCACACATACTAACACTGGAATTTCGCGCCAAAATTAGCAACTAGATTGTCTTATATGATATTATACCCTTTACGTTTTCCTTCATTTATCTTTAGATCTACCGAGTATTTTAAGCGGTTCCCAGATCGGTGTCATAGACCCACACGAGGAGTACTTTACCAAAGGGAGAAATCGACGAACAGGTTATAGCTGGAAAATCACTGACGATCGTCACATCATGGACAATATACCAGACCAGTTTGCGCCTTACAAGGGAATATTTGACTGTACAGATGATGTTTTCTCAAGAGGCTGGTACAACGGTACTCTGTTTCGCTTTCCACTACGACACCGACCCTCTGACCTTTCTCAGACTCTCTATTCCGCTGAAAAGGTGCACACATTATTTGAAGGATTCATGGCTGACGCACACTTGATCCTCCTTTTCTTGCAACATCTGGAATCTATCGAGCTCTACGTCCGTGGGGAGTACGACGATAAACCAAGAAAAACGTTTCAAGTTCGAATCATGGATGAAAGCCTTCATCTGGTACAAGAAAAGAGGGAGGAGTTTCACAACAATATCTCCACTGACAGGCTCTTGCCCCATCCTGTCCAAGTAACCTATCCGATCACGGTTGAGACTGTACACTTTTCTCAAGGCTCAGAAACCACACAGAGACATTCGTTTCTCGTAACCAACTACTTTTGTGGCGAGGAGATATCGTCTGAATTTCAAACCCTGGCTAAAGATCAAAGCCTCAGTTACCTACCCTTAGTTGGTGTTGCCATGGCATTACCAGCAAGCCTTCGCGAACGTACTCCAAAGATTCAAGGTCACGTGTTTTGTTTCCTACCGTTACCACTTCAAAAGACAAGCCTGACAGGTTTGCCGGTCCATGTGAATGGCTTCTTTGCTTTGAGTCAGAACAGACGTTATATCAAATCTCCAAACGCAGAACAGGAAGATCAGGAGCTAACTGACAAGTCCCTCCTATGGAATAGGTGTCTTTTGGAAGAGGCTCTACCCAGGGCATATGCAACGATGCTGCTAGAAGCAATCAACAAGAAGGGCTACAATATACAAGAAGAGACCGTTTACAGGTAAGATTGAAATGTCTCCGTGAAAGAAAATATTTCAGTTACTTTATTGCCGTAAAAGGTTGGATAATAACTAAAAATTGGCATTACTATGGATTGTTCTCCCTGGGATGCCTCATTCTCGTTGGAAGTGCAACTAAGTACTTGGAATGTAGAGTCCCTTTTTTCGATTGCCTCGGGTCTTACAGTCTAATTTTTGGAATGTAAGACCTTTTTTTGGCCGCCAATGCAGCGAAATAGATTAGACTACTTCAGCACGTCCTGAAATTCAAGGTTTGACCAGGTTCTATCACAACAGTTCGACATTAGCAAAAGCCGTTGCTCTCGGTATTGACATATGGTTTAGTTTTTGGTGAAAATGGTGGATCAACTAATTACACTTTCTGAATGCTGTATTCCGTAGGGCTTGGCCTAATATCGACGCCATCGACCAGAAATGGAAGAGATTGCAGAACCCCTTACTTGAGGTCTTATGGTCTGCAAATGTCGTATACACTAAGGCTAGTGGAGGAAAGTGGCTTAAAGTGGAAGACGCTGTCTTAGACACACTTGATGAACACCAGCCAAAGGAGTTACTCGTCAGCGTGTTGCTGGAAGCACATCAAAATGTCGCTTCCTTGCCTGACTACGTGTTAAAGGCATTTACCGCCGTCGGCAATAAACCAGTTATCAAGGAAATTACTCCCGCATTGGTGAGGCAAATCCTCAAGAAAATTCCTTCAAGCTACAGGAAACTTGGGAGAATGGAAAAGTTGAACCTTCTAGCGTTCATCCTAAACGTTATAGATGAGAACTTCGCAGACCTAATTGGACTGGAGCTGCTACCAGTATCCAGTGGTGCCTTCAAATGCTTTGCATCGCTTTCAAACTGTGACGAAGCAGTTTATGTCTGCTCACCCAGTCATCCAAGGAAAATGTTTCCTAGTCTAGACCATCAGTTTCTGGACCAAGACCTGGACGGAAATCTTTTGAAAATGATGGAGAAAGTTGCAAATCAAGGTATGAACGATACAAGAATTTTGTGAATGTACACAAAGCTATTTTATCTACTTCAGCTAAGACCATCTAAAAGTTATTCCACTATTTGGCGAGTTAAAATTACATTTCGTTCTACACTACTCAGTGCTTTGAGTCGAGTTTCGTTAAAAATAACCGATAAGTTTGTTTTGAACATACTCAGCAACTACTCCTTCCTTTTTTCTAGCGAATTGTTCACAAGAAAACAATACATTTCTTAAACAAAAGTTGGCGGCGGGTGGCAGTTGTAACATTAGACCAAGAACTCTATTCCTTTAACCTCGTTGCCGTATTCAAAGACTGAGGTATCTTTGATGGATTCTATGCGAGTTGCGATTGGTCGTTGCCTATAAGCTAACAGATTAAACATCCAAAGCTGAAGTCAGAAAAATTGGTGCACTGTTTTAAAAACGTTAGGAGGCTCGATCGCAACTTCGTACCATAATTTGACATCCTAATATATCATAAGGGTATAGCATGCAAAAGTGGTATCTACTATTGGTAGGCATAGTATTCCTTGATGAAAGAGGTACCTAGCGTGTTACACCACTAAGCGCACTGTAACAAGCAGTATTTACGGGCGATTTTATTTCGTGACAGAAGCGGCTATTTGTGTTGTTATCTTAGCACGATCTTCTGTTAATTAACAGAAAGTGCAAACAAATATGTTGGATAGAATCTTGTCCTGCGACTAATGGCGCCTTAAAATAGCCCGTGTATCTTGAAAAGCATTTCAGATATGCACTGCATTGTTCAAAACGTTGCAAAATGTGATGTGCATTTTAAGTGTAAGGCGAAAGTGAGAAGACATTATTTTCTTTAATGTTTGAATAGGATGTACCCAGCTGAAGTTTCTTAGGCAAGATGAGGTGGCTTCCCTTCTCTCAAAATCGTTGCCACCAGAATGGTCACAAGGTGAAGCAATTTTCTGGTATCATGGATCGGATTACCACAACCATCCAGGGTTAGGTTGGCTTGAGCTCGTATGGAATTACTTTAGAACGTACTTCACCACGAATGATGGGCTCTGCGACTTCACTGGCCTCCCCTTGATTCCACATGACATGTCACAAGTACCAATCAGCCTTTCTAGACTCCAACAGCCTTCTAAGATTGTTGTGAAAAGTCTCCATGATGAGTTTCTCGATGAAACACTGATTCAGTCCTTGAAACACCTTGGTCTTGTTATCATTCAAGAGTGTCCATCTTACCTAACCCTTCACCCCGCGGTCATCAATGCATTTATTTACCCGCCATCACCACATGGTGTCTTAAAGGCGCTGTCGGCTTGTTCATCGGTTGTAGGATATAACAAGCATTCGTTGACAGACGAAGGCAAACGCTCCTTAAGGAAGTTCTTTTCAAAGGAATCGTCGCTAGAGCCCCAAGCAAAGCAGCTTCTCCGTACCCTTCCTTTGTTTGAGACACTAAACAAATGTTTTGTTTCTGGAGAGGAGGGTCTTTGTGCAGCACCGCCAGAAGGCTCCTACCCCGTTTCTCCTCGTCAGGATCTTATTGACGTCACACATGATGACTCCAAGAGGTTGGCGCGTCTGCTAGGCATCAGATGCTTCTCTCCTATAGAATTTTTTCTTGAAATTCTAATTCCAGATGTTAAAGGAGGACATTACTCTACCGAAGAAATGGACAGGCTTATGGGATTCGTGATGGAGCGGTTTCAAGTTTACGCCGGCGCAGATCCACGATTTTTAGGGGCCATGAAATCTTTGCCATTTGTGCCAAGCAAAAATAGAAGGGTCAGAGCTATGGACCTTTTCGATCCTGGGATTGAGTTATTGAAACGAATGCTGGCCGAAGAAGATGTTTTTCCAGTTGGTGAACACTATACGAACCCCGCAGCCCTCGTAGTTCTCAGTAAACTTGGCATGAAGAGTGAGAGGGAAATTAGCGCTGAAGATCTGTACTGCAGTGCCAGAAAGATCTCTCAAATGTCAAATTTGGAGGAAGGAAAGCGAAAATCGGAAACCATAATGTTATATTTAGAGAGTAATTCAACGACGCTTCAACAAACTGTTTCTGGGGTAACGTTGACACAACTTTTGCGAGACGTTCCATGGGTATCCGAAGTGAACGAGAGGCCGTTTGGTGTTCCTGTTAGCCTTTACTCAACTAAAGAAACTAGCAAAGCCCCCTTTTACAAACCCACGGAAGTCACAAGTGAAGATAAAGTTAATCTCATTGGAACAGTGAAGCCTATTGTACGAGTAGATTCTTCAAGTCAATTAGCAAAATGTTTCGGCTGGGATAAGATGCCAGATGCATTGGACGTGGCGCAACATCTGAAGACAGTGGTCAGCCATTATACCCCAGGCGAAAAGCAATATTACATTTCAATTGTGAAGGACATCTACGCATATCTAAATCAGGCCGAAGATCCTGAAGCTATCAAGGAAGCTTTGCAGGGAATTGAAAACTCGAGCTGGATTTGGAATGGAGATGGCTTTTCCCCTCCTGGTGCAATTCTTGCTGAAAGGCCTCCTATTGATCTTACTCCGTTCATATCCTCGCTTCCGTCAGAGGTGCTGCAGTTTTCAAACTTTTTTTCGAAGTTTGGAATGAAAGAGCACTGCGATTCTCTGTTTTTTGTGCAAGTTCTTCATTTGATAAAACAGAAGTATGAATCTGGACATGAGTATTCGAACACGGAGGTGAAAAGAGATCTGCAGTTATCTGCAGACATCTTGAATGAGATCAAGCCAAACGTAGGGGAACAACTGCCTTCAGAGATTCAAGAGAAAGTTCTCATTCCAACACACGTAGAAGGAGATTCCTACGTGAGGCTTGTACCAGTTAAAGATTGCATGTACTGTCACCATGAGTGGCTAGAAGATGGCACACCAGCCGAAGAAGAAAAGGATTGCTTTTTCGTGCATCCAAACATCTCAAATAGTACTGCAGAACTTTTACAGGTTCGTACTCTTAGAAATCAGTTATTGGAAGCTGATGAGATAGGAGATGAATTTGGTCAGGAAGAAAAACTTACTCGCCGATTAAACAAACTTCTGGAGGAATACACAGATGGTTTCTCTGTTCCAAAGGAACTAATTCAGAACGCAGACGATGCTGGTGCGACTGAGGTCAGATTTCTTTACGATGAAAGAACTAACGAAGATGCTATGACCTGTCTGATTGACGAAGGAATGAAAGAATGTCAAGGTCCTGCTTTGTGGGTTTACAACGACGCGGAATTTAAGGATGAGGATTTTGAGAACATTACTAAACTCAACGGTGGCACAAAAGAGCAAGATACCGAAAAAATTGGAAAGTTTGGGCTTGGCTTTAATACGGTCTACAATCTGACGGACGTTCCTATGTTCCTTAGCAGAAACTACTTCGTGATTTTTGACCCCAACACCTTTTATCTTGGAAAAGCGATACGAAACAAGAGGAAACCTGGGATAAGAATCGACGTCAATAAGAAGCCAGAGAAAAAGCGAAAATTTAAAAACCAATTTAAACCTTTCAATGACATCTTTGGTTGCGATCTTCATCTCAACAAAGCTGACAACTCATTTCCAGGAACCCTTTTCCGATTTCCTTTGAGAACCAGGGAACAAGCCGTGAAAAGTGAAATTAAACAACTCCATTACGACAACAGCCAAATGAGAGACCTCCTTGAAATTTTCGTTCGTGGAGCAAAAACATTGCTCTTATTTACGCAAAATGTATTTCAAGTCAGCATATTGCATTTGCCTAGAGAGTCAATGGAAAACACCCAACCTAAACTAATGTTTCAGGTTACGAAGTCACTATCAGAAGCAGGAATCATTAGAGAGTTGTCTTTTCCAGTTACTCTTCAATCTCATCTTAGAAATCATAGCCCGGACCAAGTGAACCTCTTAAAACAGTGTAACTTCCTGAGAGCATTATCAGAAGTTGTTATGAAAGCTGGGGATGCAAAGCAAAACAATGGAAATTTACTGAGGTCATCGATTACAGTGGACATAACAAGCAACGTTACTGAAAGCGGGCGCTCTTTCTTTGGAGACAAAGTTAACGTACAAGATGAATTTGAGGTTTGGCTTGTTGCCTCGTCGATGGGCAAAGGACAAGCGATGCAATATTCAGTAAATGACAGAAGCCTGCTCCCAGCAGCTGCAGTAGCAGTCCAGTTGATACCTCAGGAAAGTGCGAAGTTTGCACCAAAACCTGTTGTCAGTCATATTATTGGAGGTAAAATTCATCATAACGGGACCGTGTTTTGCTACCTTCCCCTTCCAATACACAGTGGTCTTCCCGTGCATATAAATGGTGCATTTGCAGTAGCTTCTAGCAGACGCCACTTGCAGCAGAAAACAGAGGATGACAAAGCCTGTGCCGGAGTAGAGTGGAACAACGTTTTATTAAATGATTCAGTGTGTGCAGCCTACCTAGACCTCTTGGAAGACATGAAACAAATTGCTGGCATGTACCTCTTCCACACACTGTGGCCTCGAGCATGTGAGATTGAGCCTTCCTTTGAGCCCCTTGCCCGCTCATTTTACCAGCAAGTCGCCAGTGGATGTTGTTCTCTTTTTACGGACGGCAATCGTTGGACGGATATCAATCATGTGGTGTTTCTTGATCCGTACTTCCGTCATGATCAACTTGTTGGAGACATATCATTTGCAGCATTGAAGATGTTGGTCAAGGAGAATGAGGTTGTGGTTGATCTTCCAAAGGATGTTTTCGAATCTTTCTTTACGTACGATCTGGAGGAAAAGATCCAGTTGAAAATGTACGACAAGGAAAGGTTTTTCAGTGAACTATTGTTCCCAAATATCACCTCTTTATCACCACACATGCGGGATAAATTGGTCATGTACGCTTTAGATGATGCAAAGGGGACATTTGATAGATTACTACAAACCCATGCCTGCATTCCAGCTTCACCTGGTGGTAAAGTGCTTAAAAACCCTGCAGAACTTGTTAATCCAAACAAGAAAATAGCCCAGGTCTTTAACAGTGAAGATCAAAGGTTTCCTTTTGGCACAAAAGGGGATTTTTTAGACACTGTAAGACTTGCCAAACTTGAACAACTTGGAATGATGGGAGATGATGCGCCTTGGGGTGTATTCGAAGAAAGGGCAAACAGTATCCGAATTTTAAATGAGGATAGCAGCAAAGCAGCTTCAGAGCGTGCAAAGGCATTGATAGATCTTCTTGAAAGAAAGCTTTGCAGTGTGGTCGTAAGCGGTGCCCCCGAGATCGTTTGTAAGAACCTTTTGCGAATAAAATTTCTCCCTGTTGCAGCGAAACCGGAAAATTTTCCTCTCCCCTGGAGGGGAGGTGATCGACGCCCTGAGAGAAGAGCAACACTGGTATCACCCGAAAAGGCCTTCCAGCGAGACCAGATGTACCTAGTTTGCTGCTCTGAATATCTCGTAGATCTTTACATTCCTTTTTTTGTTGCAAAGCTCTTACAGTTGGACAAAAAGAAGCCCACAATTCAGCAAATTGTTAGGCAACTTGATGAAGCGTCAACCGTAAACGAGAATCTTAATTCAAAGCAATTCGAAGAAGTAAGCAACACCATTTTAGAAGTCTACAAATATCTAAATACAGCCTTGTTTGAGGAACAAATCGACGGTAACCAAGTGCGAAGCCTTTTTCAGGAAAACAGATATATTCTTGTGGGAAGTGAATTTGTTCATACAAAGCGCCTTGCCTTTTCATTGCCTGTTGACTGTTCCCCCTATCTACAGAAGCTTCCGGACGATCTTGCGATGCGATTTCAAAGTTTGATGAAGAGTGCTGGTGTAAAACAGACCTTTGAAGGCGTCGATTTCATCACGTCTTTGGAAGAAATGAAAACTAAATTTCAGGAAAACGTGCTTGATAAGGAGAATCTTCAAACAGCGGTGAATCTAGCTCGTCAACTTGGGGATTATCTAAAAGACTGTGATGAATTTGATGAGACCCAACAATCAATTTATCTTCCTGATTCTCAGGGAGTAATGCGACTAGCTTGTGAACTTTGTGTGGACGACTGCGAATGGATTGATGACGAAACTGGTGTTTGCTTTGCAAATAATATGATTCCTCATCCATCATGTATCCTGCTGGGTGTAAAAACACGTCGAGAAGAGGCCATTAACCGATTCGCTGTTGGAATTCCCTTTGGACAAAAGGAGAAGCTAACTAATCGGATTCGATTCTTGCTGACACAATATCCAAGCAAAAAAGAGATCTTAAAAGAAATTGTCCAGAATGCTGATGACGCAGAAGCAACAGAGATTTGCTTTATTAAGGACCCAAGGAACCATTGTGATGAACGCGTTTTTGAAGATTCTTGGAGGCCACTTCAAGGACCAGCATTGTGTGTTTACAACAACAAGCCGTTCCGAGAAACTGATATCGAAGGAATACAGACCCTTGGAGAAGGTAGCAAAGGAGATGACCCTAACAAGACTGGCCAGTATGGCGTAGGCTTCAATGTTGTGTACCATTTGACCGACGTGCCCTCATTTACCTCTAGTGGCGAGGAGATTGGAGATGTGTTATGTGTCTTTGATCCACATTGTAAGTATATTCCAGGGGCAACCCAACAGGAGCCAGGAATGATGTTCAGAAAAACAGGAAAGTTGAGAGGAATGTTCCCAGATGTTTTCTCCTGCTATTTAGAAGAACAGTTTCCTACCAAAAACTCCACTATGTTCCGATTTCCACTTAGAACTACAGATATGGCAGAAAATTCTGATATATCTCCCTCTCCAGTAACACTAGAGGACCTGGAAAGTATGATGGAAGCTCTCAAGTCAGAACTTTTCGAAGTTCTCCTTTTTGTCAACAATATAAGGAAGATTACGCTATGTCACATCGACGAAAGTGGAGAGGTTGTTTCCTCTTACTTTGTTGAAGCAAACGTCTCAGCCAATGATGCATCGAAGAGAGAGCAGTTCGCCAATTTTGTCAAACAAATTGGAAAGGTACAAAAGGAGAATGCTGATTTCCAGGCAAGTCACGCGGAGATGAGAAAATGTTCCTATGTCTTGAATTTAAAAGACAGCTTTGGCAAAGTGGAAAAGTGGCTAATTGTCCAGCAGATTGGTTTTGATAATGAAGCGGGGACAAAGATTGCCGACGGGAGCGTAAATGGCTATCTGAGGTTGCTTCCCCGTGGTGGTGTTGCTTGCCCCTTGCAAGACGTCTCAACGGAGAGTGAGTCACTAAGAAGAGAACACAAGGCCTACTGTTTTCTCCCGCTTCCGGTAGAAACTGGCCTTCCCCTACACATTAATGGGAACTTTGCATTAGACCACGCAACCAGACGAAATTTATGGACAGACAAGAATGATCCCTCTCGAATTGATTGGAACAACGGCTTGATAAAGTATGTTATAGCATCATGCTATCTTACAGTGTTGGACAAAGTAAGAAGTCTCCTTGAGCTTCCGGTTACGAAAAGCACTGACATCGCCACCCTTAACGCAAGCAGAGACGATTTGGTTGACAAAATACGCTATTATGAGAGGCTCTTCCCACTTACAGGTTCTACCAGTCAATATTGGGTGAATTTAGTAGCGTCCGTATACCAGGGCATGAACTACAAGAGAATGCGGCTTTTGCCAGTGGTGAACGATTGTACATCAAACAAATCTACTCCCAGAGTTGAGCTCAAATGGCTTCCTCCAACAGGGAATGGCGGAGAAAAAGCATTCTTCAACACACTTAGGAAAGATGGTTGTTTCGAAAAAGAGCAACATCGAAAGGCTGATGCTAAAGAAAAGGAACAAGAAGACAAGAGGAAATCAGGCAAATCTACTCCCACAGTTGAGCACAAATTGCTTCTTCCAACAGGAAATGGTGGAGAAAAAGCATTCTTCAAAACACTAAGGAACGTTGCTTGTTTCGAAAAAGGGCAGCAACGAAAGGCTGATGCTAAAGAAGAGGAACTAGAGGAGAAGAAGAAATCAGACAAGTCTACTCCTAGTGTTGATCTCAAATGGTTTCCTCCAACAGGAAATGGCCGAGAAAAAGCAATCTTCAACACACTTAGGAAAGTTGATTGTTTCGAAAAAGGGCAGCAACGAAAGGCTGATGCTAAAGACGAGGGACAAGAAGACAAGAAAACTTCTTTCGAGCAGATCTTGCTTCAGACGGGCTTTAATATAGTTGCGTTAAACTTGTCAGTTTACAAGGCAATGAAGCACTCAAATATCAATCCTTGCTTTATATCTCCTTCTGCCGTAATGGAGTTCTACAAATCTTTCAGTTGCGAAGGTTCTGTTTGCAAGATTGGATCATTACCTATTGACGTGAAAGAAACCCCATTCAAGAATGTTGAAGGTGTTCTCCTTGTCCTTAAGTACTGTAAAGACAGCGAAACGTTCTTGGCAGACTTGACAGGTCTTCCATTGCTAGTAACACAAGACAACCGTTTGCAAGCCTTTAGTGCATCCGAACCTAAGTTTCTTTCTCGCCATCACAGCCTTCTACCGCGGTGCAGGAAGTTGTTTGTCCACAGCTGTTTGTGGTACCCAATCTTCAGTAGTAGCAAGAGCCTTCAGGCACCCGTTTTCAAGCATTTTGATGTTGAGAGTTTTGCAGTTAACTTACACCAGACACTTCCTCGCGATGTTTTCTATGTTGAGCAGTACGTTAAATGGTACCCCGAACAAAAAACAGATCCAAATCCAAATCCGGACTGGATACAGAGAACGTGGAAATTCCTAAACGAGGAAGCTAGTAACGCCCTCAAAGAAACAAAAGCCAGTAAACAAAAACAAACTAAAAGCATAAAAGGAACAGAGGGAGGTGATGAGGTAAATATCAAAGGCATCCAATCAAAAGTTAAGACGAATACCAGAGGCTTGCAAGAAAGTGACGAGATTAGTACCGAGACGTTACAATTATCTGAAGAGGAAAAAGGTGACATCATTGGAAAAGTGCTTCAGCCTCTCAGAAACTGGGCTATTCTCCCATGCACAAAAGCTATTACTGCTGAGAACGCCTCTAAAGTGCAAGTGGAACATTTCTTAGTACCTCTATCGCTAGCAGAAACTGTCCTTGATCTAAGGAATTATGAGTCCCCTAGTGCTCTACTTGTTGCCGCGTTAAAAAAGCTTCGTTTGCCTGAGCTGAACTATTCATTTTTACCCTCGGACTCCCCTGGTCTTGCACCTCAGCTGGTTGCATCGCTTAGGTCTCCCTCCTCACTTCTGACATCGTTTCGTCATATGCTGACAATAAACTCTTGCGCACTAGACGAAAAACTGAAAAACTCTGAATGCCTTAAAGTTTTGACGTATTTCAACGAAAGCTTAGACCATCTGCAAGAAGAGGACAAGCTTACATTAAGACAACTTCCTTTTTACGAAACGAAACACGGTGGATTAGTAAGACTACAAAGCAAAAGCGTCTACGTTGTTCCCTCGGAAATTCCAGGAAAAGAAATGCAAATCTTGGAACGTCAATGCAATGTCGTCTTTCTGGCATCAAGGAACCGTTTATCTTCGTTATTCGAATTTCTGGCCTTTGAATTGTTATCGCCGATTGACCTCTACTGTAACTTCATTTTGAAGCACTTTTGGCTCTTTCCTGCTGAAACAAGGTTGGATCACCTAAAGCACATCCGCGATAAGGTTTTGGAAGGTGGATCTCCAATGGAAGAGAAGAGACTTTTGAATTGTTTGACAGACACAGAAATAGTCCCCTCCAAAGATGGCAGCCTGAAGAAGGCATCTTGCTATTATGATCACACAAATGAGGTTTTCCGGACAATTCTTACAGAGGAAATGTTTCTTCCCGAAACTTTCAAAGAGGAAAGGTGGATGTCGTTTTGGAAAACGGTGGGACTGATCCATGAGGTTTCCAGTGGTCTTTTCAAAAGGTTCGCTACTGAGGTTTCTCGTGAAGGCGCCACACAACGTACTGTAAACACCGACAAGAATTCTTTTGTCCTCGTTAATCACTTGTTTAGTCGCGACAATGTTTTGGAAGAAGGAATTCTTCAAGATGTTCGTGACATCAGGTTCGTGGTTTCATATCCTGTGGGTCAGGAGCTTAGATCAATTCATCGACAGTTCGGCCAAGGTGACAGTCAGACTCCATATATCGCATTCCAAGGTTCCGTTTTGCAAAAAGACGCTGAAATAGCCTGGACTACAGCACCAATTCTTCCGGAGTGGGCAGTTCCAAGTTACAATGATTCTGTCCTATATGAGCTGAATGTTCTCACCAAACCAACATTAGAATTGGTAACTTCTCACTTGGAGAATATCGCTTGTGCAATGGTACGAAAAGATGAAAGTGAGATAAGCCGGGAACAATTTTCTACCAGAATGTCGGTCATGGCCAAAATCTACCGCTTCTTGCAGAAAGAAGCCATGTCTAGTACCTTTGTGAAGAATCGACTGAAGGATACACCTTGTATTTTGGTTGAGCAAGGTTCAAGATTAGTGAATGCTGAGCAAGTAGTAATTGAATTGTACGAGAATCTTGAGATCAGGCCATACCTCTACAAGATGCCTGCAGAACATGGAGAGTTCAAACAATTCTTTGAGTACCTGGGCTCTTCGCCATCTGTACAACTTTCGCACTACACACGGATCCTCGACCTGCTGCATGAAAAATGCCTGGAAAGGAGTCTAGACGTGACCGAGCAAGATATTTCGTTTAAAGCCGTGAAGGGTATTTTTGAGATTTTACAAGGCAGTCCAGATGGGAACCATTCTATTTCCTCATTGTATCTACCAGCCATGTGTCTCTTTGGAAGCGACGAAGATGAAACCGCAAGACCAATAGTCTTGAGAAAAGCGACCGAGCTTCTTTTCGACGATGCTCCCCATTACCATGATCGTATTCGAAACTTCCAGCATCTATTTGTGGTGGATCTTAAAAGGTGCAATGTCTGCCGCAACTCTTCTGCAAATTACAGGGAACTAGTCCTGCTTTTGCCTGCAGCTTTGCAGCCTAAGATGTTGTCCACTGCGTTGGAGGAAAAGTTTGCCGAGTCAAGGGACGAAAGCACGTTTTTGGAAGCTGGCATTACTTGCTCGTTAAAGAGGATGCTTCACTCAGAGGAATTTTACCGAGGAATTGTAAGGCTTATTCGCCACTCAAGTCATAAAAATCAGCAGAAAGTCGACGAACATTTCGTTACGTCCTTAAAAACCACATTGAATAGGATCGAACTCCGCGGTGTGAGGAAAATTGTGACTCATCTACTGTACAATGGGATCGTGATTCCAGGAAGCGAAAAAGAAGTTCCCTATTTTTTGGAGAAGATTAACAAGAGTGGCGAGGAGATTTGGAATGTATACATCAGTGCAGTAGAAGACGTGGCGGAAAACATGTCTGCGATAGATCTGACACTGTCACAGGTGATTAATGGCGAATGTAACGGACTGTTGCAAGATACAGTTGTATGCATTCCTTCAATGTTGCACAGCCAACCTAGCAAAGTCAAATCCTTACTTGATAGGATGAAGATCCGGCAAGATGATTCCCTCGATTCAGAAGGCGTGGACTTTGTCCCAGAGCCAGGCAGTTTTATTCCAATTGCAGATCACCAGCTTCTTAGTCCAGCCTTTAAGCCCTTCTTGCCAGGTGAACACGTTGGATATGAAGTTGAAGATCCGAGTCTACAACTAGAAGAAGGAGATGCCACGTACATCTACGCTATAATAGTTCACGACGTTGCAATTAATGAAGTCAATTTATTTTCAAAGTCTTACAAGATTGACATTGGTCATGAAACTGTTGCACCGGCAACTGACTTGTATCAGTTTTGCCGGTCTGAAGAGATATTATCAACAACAGGTGAGCACCTAGACTTCCAAAGCGCAAGAGGAAAACAAGCGATACTTGACGATGTTTCGAGAGCAATCAGAGAAGCTTACAGGCTACCAGAAGACAAAAGACGAAATGTAATTAAACGTCTCTTTCTACAGTGGTACCCCGACAGAAATCCAGGAAATAAGACGTTCTGTTCACAGGTTTTTCAACATTTCCGTAGTGAAATTCAGAGCATGGAAGGAGAAGACCCCTCCTATGACGCCTTTTTTTATTACTGGGAAAAACGTGCAAGGCGGCTCGCTTCATGGCGCCAAGAGTACCTGAAGACATACTCTCTACACTATGGAGAACAGACGTGGGTGTTTCCACCGAGCTTCTGCAAAACGAATCCTCAACCTGGAGAGGCAAAACGCTGGCTCCGACAGGCTGAAGACGACCTGGCAGCTTCTCGTAACGACATTGAAACCCACTCTCCATCTTACGTATGGGCCTGCTTCAAATGCCATCAGGTAAGATTCAAAAGAAATCGTTCCCTTGGTACCTTGAATTACGTGGTTTATACTACTACATGAGAAATTTCTGCAATTTGATTGGTTTAGAGCAGTTGTATTTCAGCTTAATTTGAAATACCTACATGTGAAAATTACAGACCTTTTGCGGGTAGTAGTATAAACAAATAATAGCATGATTTGTACGTCATATTTGGCATAAATACCACTCGTGATATTTCAAAATTGTCTCAAATTTCACTCGCCTAACGGCTCGTGAAATTACGTATAACAGTTTTGAAATATCACTCGTGGTATTTAAGCCAAATATGACTACAAATCATGCTATTACCTATACTAATACCAGTTTGTAAAGCAAAGTATTTATTGGAATTATTACTTTATAGGCCTCAGAGAAAGCGCTGAAAGCCGCACAGTATGCAGAAGATGCCTCCAAGACTTATATACACGACCTCGAGGGAAACGCACGGATGCTTAATGACCCTCAACTGATTACCCTGTCGAGGGAACTCGAGGAACTCTTAGGAAGTTCAACTAGAATGCGCTACCCTGATCAGTTGAGGTTTCCAAAGATTCCAAAGGACGTTTACTCAGAACAAGATGCCCTTCAGGCAATTGAGCTTGCAAGGGAGATTGTAGAACAAGTTGGAAGAAAATTTTTGTAAGGTGAGTCATGCTGAAAAATTAAACAAGAAAAATGCTTCACCCTTTCTATGAGCAAATACACCTGCACCGTGAACGAGTGGTATGAAGAGCAAACATAAACATGGTGTGCGTTTACTGAGGTCACATTCCTATATTCATCCACTCACAAAATATAACACATACCTTGTCAGAGAGACGTAATTGCAAGAAACACTCGAGCTCAAAACCTCTTGCGTGGATATTGCGTGGAGCAATATTTTTTGCGTATTGCTCCAATTCGTCCGTTCAGTATAAGTCAGAAATTCGGCTATTTCGTCTTTGGATAGCCGTGAACGCCATTTTTCTTTTAATAGTTCAATTATGCATATGGAGCTAGGCTATCGCGCTTTAATGCTCTGCAGAACTGAAGCGAATGAGGCTGCAAGCAATATACCACGGAATCGACAGTTTATTACTTACGTCTTCTTAATATGGTAAGCACCGGCTCGTTGTGGAAAATAAGCCGGGAATTCGAGCCAATCAGAAACGGCGAAATATTTGAATGAGTAATGATATTAGTTTCGGCATTTCGATCTTCATTTAAGTTTTATTTAACTGGAGGACTTTGGTCCTTACTGTTTAGACTAAAACATATTCTCTTGATGGCTCGATGAGGCAATTTTTAGACGTCGTAACATGTACACTTGTTTTGGAGAAGTGATCATTAATGCTACATCTAGTTCACAAGCACTCCTTTGAAATAGTTACAAGCAAAAATTGTCTCATTAAGAACTCCAACTGATCGGGAGCAAATCAATTGGCTATTTTAGAAGCATGGTCGAATATGTGAAGGGTTATTCAGCACTTCCCATTCCCCTTTCTTATAACTCCAACCTCCCAAATATGTCTGTATGCCTGCTTTTTGTCAGTCTCAAAATACTCAGACCATCGTCCAAGCAATTCAACTGACAGTTACTTTCTGCGCTCTTCTATTTCAGCGGTTACTAGGTACTTGTAATGAGGGGTCATATGGCAATCACAGACGTCATCTCTTTTGACCGTTGTAGTTAACGGCGATAGTTTTCTATTAAACGCACATTGATGAAGATAGCTTTAGATAGCGTTTCACGTTGTTTACAAGTGTTTACAGTAACATACCCAAGGTTATGTTATAATCTAGGTTATATTTAGTTCATTGTTCCCATAAATACATAGCAAAGAACGTAAGAGACTTGTACTTTTTTATTAGTAGGTACTTAAAAGGATCTTACCTTGTGAGTAATTACGTTAGTGATATTTTTTTTGTTTTGTTTTGGCTGGGTCTTGAGCCCGCAAAGCCGATCAGACTTTGCCCCATTAAAGACTTGTTTAATTCTTGTTTAATTTGTGCGAAAATCATCAAAATGTGTCCTGTCACGATTTTTTTACTTGCTGAGGTTTATTTATGAACTGATGAAAGATTAAACCGTTGTTATTTTTATTTTTTATTTGATTTGTTTTTTTTTGTTACCAGTTTGCAATCGTAAATTTAACAGGGAAAAAACAAAAACGTAGAATTGCAGTTGATGAGAACCTATGAGAAAATTAACATTTATCTATCTTTATCAAGTTTTCTTAACTTCCATGCAGCGAAAATAAGCGCAGTATCATATCCTGCGACCAATTTTGAGGTGAGTTAACCAACTAAGACAACTTCCATTGCTCTAATTTTTATCATGATCAAACCGAACGATGCGTTATACAACACAGAGAAAGGCTTAGGTATAAATTGTCTATTTTTAAGCTAAAGGCTAATAAATATTTTACATTTGCTGTTGTGCATGTCATGTGTCAATCCCGGAGAAGGGGAAGGGGTCTGCATGTGATTAAGGGAAAGGGGATGCTGGTCGTAAAAAAATTAGAATCAAACCGCCCCTGGATACCAATCTGGGCGTGGTTCAGCGAGCAACTTTCATGTACTCGTGTCATGGCGTTTTCACCGACCAGTGTAAGTCAGGTAAAGGTACAGTAAAACGGTCAACAAAAACACGTCGTGCAACTTGTTTGCAAGATTGCTGCAAAACGAGTTGAATAGGCATGTTGCGCGTTAAAAATCCAACCTATCGTGCAACAAATTAGTTTGCGAAAAATTTCTGGTACAAAGTAGAAAGTGATTCTAAATAAGATCTGTTGATGTTGCCCGTTTTACCGTTGCTTTGCAGTTAGTGACGTAACTCCCGTGCATGTGACTCCCGCGTAATTTTATCCAATCAGAAGTCAGTGTTCACGCAACTTGCAACAACCTCATTTGTTGCAAGAGAGGTTTGATTCGTGGGTGATAAAATGTGCAACATCGCTATTCGACTTTTTTGAAGCAGTGTCGCAAAACAGGTCGCACGTTTTTGTTGCGCGTTTTACCGTAGTTAAACCTGCAGACCTAAAAACAGTATTTTGACCTTTTAATGGCGTTTAGTTTTCCTTTTTAATATCTTAGTACTTGGAATGCGCTCACAGTAGGTGCGTAGACTACATTTTCACTGGAGAAAGTTCTCTAAGAGTTATCTAAAAAGAAACGAGTCTATAAAGGTGAACCATGACGTAGGCAGGGCCGTCACTAAGATTTCAAGTTGATTTATAACTACAACAAGTAGGCGGGAAATCAAACAGCTAAGGACAGCCTTAAGTGTCACCTCTATGGGTAAAAATATTGCACGGCTTTCCGCCCTGAGTGAGACCAACAAAATCGGCATTTTACGACCCTGAGAGAGATCACTAGAATACCCGCCCCTTTCATGTAAGAATCTCTACCCTTGTGGTATAATTTTGAATTTTGATTTTTCTTCGCTTTCTGAATCCTCCCCCAAAAGTTATTTTCCAAAAAGCCATAATGCGCCCTCTCTAAATCACGAAATGTAAAATCTCTCTGCATACAATCTAACTATCCTGAAACCATAAAATCTTTGTTTTTAAATGAAGTCAAATGCTATTATTCTTTTAAGAGTGAAGACCTTGGAAACAGGACTGATAAAACGCCATAAAAAATTAGGTTTTTTTGTAGACGAAACGTCATCCGCATTCCTGTATAAACACAGTTCAATTCCTTAACACGCATGCGAAAGCTATTTATGTATGGCAAAGACGATCTAGTCCATCTTCAGGCGCAATATTCACGCAGTTGGTAGACCTGTCACCATCATAACATATAATGGTGGTGGGACATGATGTCCGGACAAAGATCATCCAAGACTATCATTTCCCAGATGAATTAAAATCTACCTCGAACACAAGACCTAACGTCGCACTAACGAAATTGTAGGTGGCAGTGAATATATGGCAAAAATCAGTCGTGATTACCGTTTTTGCTCGAGTAAGCGACGCGGTGCTTATTGATTCGAGGGCGGCTTTTATTTGAAAGTTGGACGCGAGAAAATAATTTACGGTAATATAATTCTCCTAGTTCCGTATTACACTAACTAGGGCTTTTTTGCTTTGGAGCAGCTTTCAGCGCTTAAATTGGCCTTGCTTTCAATATTTCACAATGTTTTAATAGACAATTTATGAATTTCCTGTGAAAAAGGAGCCAGATCCTCCTCCCTCTTTGGGGCAGATCATGGTTGCAAGATGCATGGAGCCGAGCTGCTACGTCCGCGGTTTTTTGAAGAAAATTCAAAAGGGCGGACGAAGATTCACACTCGGTTGACGACTCGAGCGCAGGACTCGATGCGTTTTTCCTGTGGTTCTCGATCTGTTACCAGTCCCATAAGAGTCTTAGAACGAGCTGTACACCATCAATTAGATGCTTGTCTTCAAATTCACAAAGTTCTTACCCATATCAATGTGATTCCAGAAAGGGTCATTTCACTTTGAGGGCTGTCGGGTGCATTAATCAAGGCCTGTTGACTGGTGCGGTACTCATCGACTTGCAGAAAGCATTCGATGCGGTCAATCATTAAATTCTTTTGAATAAACTGCCGGGGCTAAAGGTAATGCATCATGGGTACAATTGGTTCAGAAACTATCTACAAAACCCTACTCAAGTTGTAGAATTCCAGAACGTGTGAAGTACTGCTGAGGCTGTGTCTTTGGGGGTACCCCAGGGATTCACTCTAGGGCCGCTGTTAGTCACAAATTTGCATTTGTGGCGTTTTTCAGCTAAACGTGCCATTCTCTCACCCCACTCCACATTCAAGGTTGAAACCGTGTATCCATAATATTTCAGGAAATTTCTATCCATCCATCCAGCTAGCCGTCTATCTATTTAGCCAGGTTCGAAATATGGGAAGGGAAAAGATTTTCAGCACAACAGATAGAGACCGATAGCGCAATACGGCAATTTCCCAATATCACTGGGAGATAGCCAGATCACTAGTGATCTAGTACTCTGGATCACCGAAACA